ACCATTGCAAACCATGGAGTACTGGACAGTTGTCTCCTCCGTCCTAGTTTGGGAATCATCGCCAGTACGCACCCACTACAGGAGATTCGAACCCAGCACCTTCCGGTGACAAGACAAGCTAGGTCGTATACCATTCACTGGGACCCGATTGGTCGGGGTAGCGCTAAATCACGAATTGGTAGAAGTTAGAATTCATGCACTGGCCAACAAATAAGGAGTACTGGAAAGCTGTTTCGTCGTAGTGCATACTGGGTGTGCTCACTGACGAAGAGTCCCCACCTAGACTGACGAAACAGTTGGTTGTCCAGTCAGTACTCACGGGTTTTCCAATGATTTTCTAACCGTGATGTCAACTCATGATTCGAAGAATGTTGTTAAAAATCTTTGACTTTATACATACATATACTTCTAGATGCGTCGGTGGCACGGTAGTTAGGACACTCGCCGACCATGCATATAGTCCGGGGTTCGACCGACGAAGCATTCCTTTACCTCACCAAACCAGAAATAAGACGTCAGTAAAGAGGAAAAGTTGGGCATGAGGCTAGCAACCTCATCCTGTAAAAATAAACACTGCTACAGAAACTTCAAGCCTCCAGCTTGTAACCCTATGTCCCACCGGGAACGTGAAGGAAAAAAAATACTTCCAGATGACGTCACTGCAGTCTGTTTCTTCTCCTCGGCTGTTGTTGTTGTTATGGTTATCATTTCTACTATAGCTAATGATCATGTTGACAATATTTGTTGAATTGGTTAGTAAAAATAATAGTAATAATAATAACAATTTGCACATTGATAAAAATCTCTTTCTGTTGTAGTATTAAGAATTATCACAGCGTTTAATTTTTTGAAAATGTAACTAAATTTAGTTCATCAATACAACTGATTTATTATTATTATTTTTCGAATAATTTTAATTATATAGTTGAAGCAAGTCTGCTCGTCGCATTGTTTTGCTTTTTTTATGCCTTTCTGTCTTGTTCTCTTTCGTTTTATTTATTCTCTGTTTATATTGATGATATCGACGATAATAATAATAATAAACTCCCATGTCTGAAGTAAAATAACTATACTACTACTACAGATTGGATTAAGTCACTGAGGGCGGAGTGTTTTGGCGCTTATGCTAATTCCAGGAATATTCTACACACATTGGTCGTAGACCCTCTGACGGGTGCACTCACTGATCAAGGAAGGCACTCATTCTGCTCGAACTCATGCAGTCAGCCAGTTGAGAGCATATGGCGAGTTGTTATCTGAACTGGTGACAACTACTGGTGTTCGTCAGCGAGGGATGCCCACTATATCCTCATTTCTATTCAATTTCATCATATATAGATGTACTAATAGGAATTAACCCTAACTGCTGACTTCAGCGACTCGGGGATGGCATTTTTACCATCAGGAAATAATCTGGTTGACTTAGAATATGCAGATGACATAGTCCTCCCTACTGGATGGAGACGCTGACATAATGCAGAGTCTTCTGAACACCTTGAGCTGCAATCTGCGAATGTTTGGCATGCGATTAGCTCCCCAAAAATGCAACGTGGTGATGTTATAGGACTGGATTACAGCGACCCACTCCTAGCTTAGAAATAGGGAGTTAAGTGGTGGCTGAGAGTGTTGATCACTTCACTTATTTGTGAAGTTGCATCAGACAGTGCCGTCGGATTGATTTCTGATGAAATCTCAGCACGGATACGGAGGGCTAGTTTTGCATATGCCAGTTTACGCCATTTCTGGCGTAGACGTGATATCCGGCTATGTCTACTGCTCAGTAACAGTACACGTCGTCCTCCGTTAAGCCTGCCAGTGAGATCTGGCCATTGAGAGTGGAAGACATGAAAAGGCTAGTCCGCTGTCTTTGATCATAGGTGCCTGCGTTCTATCTCCCGTGTTAGCTGGTAGGTGTAATAGGGTGGGGAATATTGAGGTTAGGCATCGGTCGAGAGCTAGATAAGCTTGGAGGAGAAATCAATCGATGAGGCTGTAAAATTACATTGATTGAGTGAGATTGTTAGGACTTGTGTTATGCATGCATGACTAGCCATCGCCTTCCTCGACAATGGGCAATGTTAGTTGACATAGGATGGATCAGGTTGGACAAGAATCAGTGGTGGTGGTGGTCAAACGAAAACATGTCTTCATCAGTCAATAAAATCCACAAAAATTAGTTTAAGCCAGCCAGCCACGTAGGAAGGTGTAGACTTCATGACTTGTTGGAGTCGGTAAACACCAAAGGAGGCTGGAGACTGTAAATCGGTGATATGACTCATTCTCAGTGCATAGCGAAGATGCATCCCCATTCCTTGTGACTTATAATATCCAAAAAAAACTTTATTGTTCTTTGATATTACTATTCTTTTTGCCTTATATCTCTGTTTGCTGTCTCTGTTTTGCATTTCTTTTTACTTTCTTCTCTTTCTTTGTGTGATATAAGGAGGGAGTGTGACTACTTGAACTGCTGCACATCTGTGCTAAGTTTTATGTCCTAACCAGTCAGTGAGTCAGTCAGACCATCTGATGGATTTTATAGCTGAGAGATTACCATCACAAAAAGCAGAAAATCTCAAGTAATTATCCTATTCATCATGTGAGGTGTCCGTCGAATTATTAAGGAACAAATTTGATGGCCAGCATTGCTATCCGCCGCTTTACTTATCTCTTAAAAATGACTGTAAAAGGCGGAGGACCCCGTTGACAATTTTTTTCGTCTTGACATTATAATATGCAGAGAGGTCAAGTTGTAGAGTTGTATGTGGATCAGATGAATCATTCATCATTTCGAATTATCAGTTGTCTACTACCAAACAAGAATGCATATACAATATCGAGCAGTATTGCCTCAGTTAGAATTATTTGACGTCATTTGGCATAACGCGTTGAATGATAATCATCTGAACTGTGTTGAAATGTGTAGCCTGATAATGGTGATTGACTTTGGTTGTTGTTAACTGAATGAATACACTTAGTCTGTCTGTCTGTTTTCGACACAGAACTTTGCACCGATGTGCACCAGTTCAAGTCACCACACTCCCTCCTTGTATCACACAAGCAAGAGAAGAAAGTAGAAGAAATGCATAATAGGGACAATAAACAGAGGTATGAGACAAAGGAATAGTAATAACTAAGAACAATATAGTTTCATTTGAAATCACAAGTCACAAGGAGTGGATGCATCTGCGCCAGCCAATGATAGCGAGGATTTTGAGCTATATCACCGATTGTCTCCAGCCTTCATTGGTTTTTACTGTCCCGAGGACCCCAAACCAGGAAGTCTACAGATATCTATACATCGTACATTGAGAGTTTATCGGAGGATTTAATCGAAAATGTGCCACTTTATAGGTGTGCAAATGACAATGTAATCATAAGTGAGCAGCCTTGTTCTGCCTCCATCAGTTTTACATCGAATGACTGAATTTCAGAATAGTATATCACTTACGTCTATAGAAGAGGAAGATAATTGTTTATCTTTCCTACACATATTGCTTAGTCGACTGACGGCTTGATGGGTCAATAAAAAGATCTATTTATAGAAAACCTACCTGAACACGACAGTATCTTTATATCACAGTTTCTCCCCTGTTCACTACAAAGGAGCCTTAGTGAGTGAGGTGGCCGCTTCACTAGAATCCAACGAATATGCACGGAAGACACACTTGATGAAGAAGAAAGAAAGGTGACACAAACTCTGGTTGATAACAATTATCCAGGTACGTTCATTAGGAGACACAGAGTGGTCGAGACACCAAGACCCACTCTCCAAATTCCACTGAGAAAGACATATATATCAGGCTACCCTATATCGATGATCTAAGCAGCTTGAAAACTAGACAAAGATTGTAAGCTACGGTAAAAACAACCTTTAATGAGACTAAGATCGTATTAATTGAGAATGTGAAGCCAATTCTTCCATCTATGCCATTTTAAACCATGAGAAAAATGATATCACATCCTATTGTATTTACCATTTCAAATGTATCTGTGGGCACACATACATAGGGAGGACTCATCGATCTCTGCGAGTAAAGGCTGGCTTCAGTGTATTTTCCTAAATGTATTCAGAAGCAAATCGAATCATCAGAACGCATTAATGGTGAGAACAGACGACCTAGCTGCTCTATTGCGAAGCATATTATAGAGACAGGACATAAGTTTGATGTTTACAAATCTTTTAAGCCTATCTATAAAACGTGTTTGGAACGCATCCTAAATATTAGGGAAGCCCTAGTTGGCAATCAGAAAGTTTAAATCACAGAGAAATAGAGCATTTTTTATACAGAAGGAAATCAAAGATTTCTCCTGTTTCATGAGGATTTTGGAAAATTCTCTAAAAAACCGGGAGAGGGAGCGGATAACGTTAGACTTTGCAATTATTATTCACCCAGCCCCCTCCCCCTCCCGCCATCCGAATTTTGTCACAATTTAGCATCAGTTTGGAGAATCATTGAACACTTGGGAGCATTGGATAGCCTGTATATATATATATATATATATATATATATATATATATATATATATCCTAGTTAAGTACTCTTCAATAGTACATACCATCACGAAGGGTCAGTGTAGTTAAAACTTGTATTTACTCTTCTGGGAGATTTCATCATGAGCCAACATCAGTTGGAGAAGCATTGGAAAACCTGTATGGAGTACTGGACAGCCAACTGTCTCTTCAGCCTAGTTTGGGACTCTACGCACCCACCACAGGAAGTTTGAACCCAGGATCTTCTGGCGAGCTCCTAGACCGACAGCAGTACCTAGCAGAGTTCAAAACTAGGACAAAACAGCTGTCCAGTACTCCTTGCAGGTTTTCCAATGATTCTCTAACTGATGTCAGCTCATGATGAAATCCTTCAACCAATCAAACAAAAACAAAAAAGTCCCTACGAAACCATTACTTGAAAACTTATTGTTCTATCGTTTTCTTTGTCATTATGTTTTCCTTTATTTAATTTCTGTATTTGATTAACTTCTTTCCTACACTCATATAGATATCCCATCGGGTGGTTTATCCTATCAGCATGATCATCGTCAACATCACGATCAAGGCAGTAATAGTCGTTTGAACAGTTATGATAATAACAATAACAGTAACAATTGTAATAATTTAAATTCTCGTCGAATATCCGAATCAATATTACACGCCTGCTCACAATATTCACATCATCATCAGTCTACAAGTTTAAATCCCTTAGCAAGTATGAATTTTATGCATCATTCAATGAGTCGATTCAATGTACCTTCAATGCCCAACAACATCAACACCACTACCAACAACAACAAGAACATGATAACACCTTCCACGTGTTGTACAACATCATTACTAAGTCAAAATTGTTGTCCTCTTATGAATACGACACTAGCGCCATCATCATGTGCTTCTTCGATGACTATATCATCTTCAATGACATCATCATCATCATCAAGTTTCATTCATTCATCAATAGGTAAAAATAATTTCAACAATACTGTTAACAGTATATCAACTTCTAATTTTAGTAATAATCATGATTCAATAAATACAAATAACTTCCTCAATTTAACTTCGAATCGATTAAATTACAAACCATCATCATTATCTCCACTATCACTATTACAAAGACACCAGCAGCAGCAGCAGCAGCAACAACAACAACAACAGGACAACGATGAACATCTTCATTCTCATCGTCAGCATCGTGATCAACATCATCACCATCATCATCAAATTCAACAACCAACAATCTATCATCAAATGGTATCATCAAATCGTGCAGTCGAATCGTGTTCAGACAGAGTTGAAACGGGGCACTTCTTTAATGGATCCGAGATAATGTTGAGTAGTAGTAATAATAATAATAGAGTAGGTGATGATGGGAGTGCTATGTCTAATCAGCAACATCGTTATCAAACACCTAACCTTAATAATAATAATATTTATCCTAATAGTCATCATCAGTATAAGAGTTTCTTTACAAGTCATGACCAACAATCTGATTCATGTGGAAAACACTCCACCTGTCGAAATCAATTCTGTTCATTATGCATGGAACCGGAGAGAAAACGGCATATTTCAGCTCCAGTTGCTGCTGCTAATAATAATATTTCATCGTTATCATCTCAAGCGTCGTTTTTGTTGTCAGCATCAGTAACAACTTCTTCTTCTTCCTCCTCCTCCTCGATATCCTCATTATCATTACCGTTCTCATCATCAACATTTCCGGGGAATTTATCTACTATGACGAAACATTCAGTGATGCCGGGTTATAGAAATGAAGTGACAGAGAAATCATGCTTCTGTTTACAGGAATGCCGTAATTACCATCAACACCAACACCACCACCATCATCATCCTCCTGCTCCTCATCACCTGCACAATCGTAGTCATCATCATCACCAGCAGCAGCAACAACAACAACAACAGACACAGTCTAACCGTTGTTGCAGTGTATTGTCTTCTGACGAGCCAATGGCAACAACTTCTATTGAACAACCATCAAGTGATACTGTTGCAGAAATGTTAATGCAAAGGTGAGTTTCCATGTTATTATAATTTAGTAATTAACACTATGAAAAGGCGTTTAGGTATTCATATTCTATCACTACCTATTTTTCTTTTCTTATAACATCCCTTCTCTCTCTCTCTCTCTCTCTCTCTCTCTATATATATATATATATATATATATATATATATATATATATATATATATATATGGGATTCAATCCTCGCTTATGAGAATAGTTTCAGGTATAGTTTGAGGCTTAGAATCAGAAAACTTCATTCATTCAGGTGAATTACGGCGGCGGGGGGGGAGTTGTAATGTGGATTTTATTTTTCTCTCTTCTAACTGTTTACCTGAATATTAACCAGAATAACAGTGGGTTGTTAGTGAAATGCTAATCATACCATATTAGTTTGTTTATTAGGTGTATCACACAGTCAGTGAAACAGTATTACTGCTTACTGGATAACAAGGTTTTGAATAGAATTTATTGTGGTTGATAATCATATCAATTATAATTAATCACACGACTTCGAAACTTGAGTTGTATAGTTGCTTTCTTTGTTCTCTCCCATTTGTCGTGGTGGAGGTAGTAGAATTTTCCAGATGTCTGGGTTGACAGGTGTTGAACCACTCCTGATACACATATTTGCAGTTGATTCGATAGACAAAGCTTCCATTGTTATCAATCTTCCCCACTCACCACCCTGTTACATTAGATTTTAAAACTGTCATCCTATCCTATCCTATTGTATGGTTGTGTGTAACTGCATGTAGCGAGTGCTATTTACGGCTGAACTAATAATGATATTAATAACGACATGCATGTCAAACATGCACAAGATAATGATAACACCAACAATAAGGAATCTAAATGATCATTAGTAATTCCATACAAGAAAGGAACGTCGGAAACCACCTTACACAGAATTCTTAACAAGGCAGGGAGGGATAAAAGTGGCTGGAATTCAAACCACCCACAAACTCAATTAGAAACAAGCTTTGTCGGTTAAAGGATCCCTCCTATGAAGCCAATAAAACAAAACAATTTAGTTTATCTAATACCCTGCCTTCAATGATTGTCAGTGAGGTCAAATACATAGATGGGTCAAAGTAGTAGAACAGGGTCAGTCAGTCAGACAAGCTGAGCATAAAACCTAGCAGCAAAATCTAGATTAGTTGACCCGAATAAGATAAGAAATCTAGAAAAATTTAGTTCAGCCGTAGACAGCACTACATGCAGTTACACACAGCCAGGCAATAGGCTGAATGGGATAAGATGACAGTTTTAAAATCTAATGTAACAGGGTGGAGTGAGGGAGAGTATGATAACAATGGAAGCTTTCTTTTTGTCGAATCAACTGCAAACACGTGTAATAGGAATGACTCAACACCTGTCCAGCTGGATATCTGGAAATTTCTACTACCCCAATGACGACAAATAGGAGAAAACAAAAAAGACTTTCAAACTCAAGTTTCGAAGTCTTGTGGTTATAATTGATGATATGATTACCAACCACAATAAATTTTGTTCGAAACTGTGTCATCCAATAATCAGTAATACTGTTTCACTGACTGTGTGATACACCTAATAAACAAACTAATATGGAATTACTTGCTACCACAATGTCCAAGTTCTACACATATATTAAAATGTTGATCACACTAAAATGAAACACTATAATAAAAATATATTTTAAACTGGTAATGTTAGTGATGGCGTCGGTGCGATAGCGGTTAGGACGCTCGCCGACCATGCACATGGTCCGAGGTTCGATCCCCCGGCCACAGATGCACTCCTTTACCTCTCTAAGCCAGAAATAATGCTGGTAAAGAGGAAAGGTTGAGCATGAGATGAAGCTAGCAATCCCTTCCTGTAAAATGAACACCACTGCTACAGAAACTTCAAGCTGGCTCTAGATTGAAACCCTATGTTCCACTGGGGAACGTGTGAAGGAAAAAACAAAAACAAAAAAATATGTGAGTAGAATCGATTTGTGTACAGACACTGTTTCTAATCGATTTTCTGAAATGTCTAGGATAAATGGTTGAAGGAATTTTCATTGCAGTACAACTCAACATCAACAACATTAGTTCAGATGAATTCATGCCTCACTCGAATCAAAAGTGTTTTTGTGTGGGATATATTTTTTCCTTCAGTAAAACAATCATAAGATTTTCCCCTTCTATTTATCGTAAAATCTCTTCACTGTAAGTAATAGAATAACACGAAATTATCCTGTGAATTTAACTAAAGGGAAATTGTCCTACCTTGTATGGAGAACTTTTCTGTAATCTCGTGAAATGGATGTCGTCCACAGTCACTTCACTCAGTATTATGAACAAAGTGGGACATTCTCTTTGTCTTCTTCACATCGAAGAAAACAAACAAACATTCACACAACATGACATACATTCTCTCATATCAGTGAACATGGATAGCTGTAAAAATCAGTTTGACTGCAGAAGTGTAAGAATCATAAACTGTAGGAGCACACAGAATGCCAGGGAATTCCTAGAAGCTTAGATCACAGATCATTCTGTGGAATCAAATTCTGATTTACAAAATTCCTGGACAACTTTTTTCCCTAGTTTGGGAATCGTCGGAAGTACACACGCACCACGAGGTGGGGGGGGCGGGTTCAAACCCAGGACCTTCCTGTGACAAAGCAAGCTAGCTCGTTGACCACGACCCGATTCAATGGCCAGCCAGCCAGCCCATGAATTCTAACTTCTACCAATTCGTGATTTAGCGCGACCCCAACCAGTGTTGTAGGTGGGACATCCATCCTCACACGTGACATCTGGATGGACCATACTGGTCACGACTTCTCACTAGAAGTTACTCCAGGAAACTTTGTACTGTAGCAAGTTACTCTCACTAGCGAGCATGAGAATAATTTTCTTTAGTTTGATTTGTGAGGGTTAGTTATGTTTTTACAGATGTCGAGTACTCCTTTGTTTGTGGCTGGTTTACAATGGTTCTCTAACTGATATCAATCCGTGATCAAACTGGTAAAAACAAGTTACTTTCATTTTGTAAATCTGATAGATGATAAATGATAACAGTCACAGTCATCATTGACACTAAAAACAAAAACAAAAAACACCTCTTGAGTACTCCTTAATTTTTGACGGTAAATAAAACATATTACTGTTCGTAGTGATTTTACCTTGATAAATGTTACTCTGTATACCTGTTTGTTATTGTTTCCTTAAAGTAGGGAGTTGTCGAGGTTATTATTATTATTATTAATTATTGTTGCTGTTAGGGTGTTACTGACAAATAAGATAAGAGTTAAATGTAAACAGTTCATGAATAATAATCCCCATCTAGACAATTGTGAGAACAAAACACGCAGTTCTTCAGCAAACAGTCTCTTTTCGCAGGCGAATTCATTCACACTTAGCTGTACAGTCGGAATAATATATATATATATATATTGGCATGTCTGTCATTCATTGGCGGGAATGTTCACCAGCCACTTTTGCGGTCGGAGTTCGATTTCCGATTGATGCATTCTTACACGTCGCTTAGTCTACTAGTCCCAGTAGTAAGTCTTCTGGAAAAGAAAGAAGATTTAGCATGAAGGTAACTAGCCAGCTAGTAACTCTACACCGTAAGAAACGCCAACGCTACCACTGAAACTCCAAGGTTACGTTCCACTCGGTACTCAAACAATGACTTTTTTTTTGTTTCCTTCACGTTCCTAGTGGAACATAGGGCTTCAAGCTAATGGCTTGAAGTTTCTGTAGCAGTGATGTTCATTTTACAGGATGAGGTTGCTAGGCTCATGCCCAACCTTTTCTCTTTACCAGCATTATTTCTGGCTTAAGGAGATAAAGGTTCCGTACAGGTCTTTGTTCGCCAGCCATCCCTGGGACGGGATGGAAAAGGCGGAGGGGTGGTCAGTCAATGATGTGGCGTCGTGAGATGAAGGATTTTTGTGCTAGATTAGCATCGGTTGGTGTGTCACGACTCCCTGGTTGGGGGATCCGAGAGATAGCTGAAATCGATGGCTCGAAACGTTATCGGATATGACCAAGAATCGTAGTCAATGGCGAACGTGTTGCAATTTCCTTTTTTCTTCTCTTCCTGATGATAGTTAACGAATACTGTTTGAACTTGTTAAGCATGACTGTTTTCCTTCCAGATGAAGTTCTTTATCCGTTCTTTACTTATATATTTTTTTCTTTTTTCCTTTTGTTCAATGTTGTTTTATTAATATTGTGTGGCGCATTCTTCTTGGTGGCATATTGTACCAAGTTTTTATGCGAGGTAAAGGAGTGCGTCGGTGGCCGGCGGTCGAACCCCGGACCATGTGCATGGTCGGCGAAGGTCCTAGCCGCTGTGCCACCGACGCACCGAACAATGAATCCACCTCATTGTATCATTTTATACTCCATGTCTTAATAATAATATGTTCAGTATCAAAAAATTTATTTATTTATTTATTTCTTGCCTATTAATTTCCCCAAAACACTGTTTTTCCTCCACTTGTTATAGTCATATTACTGATCCAGGTGGATTACCGTTAACCTGTGAATTGAATAATCCGTGTTCTACAATACCACAAAATTCTACACCTTCAGGATGTTTATCAACAACAAGAAGTCTACCGCCGGCAAGTAGTGATCAATCCATAGCTATTGAGGGTGATAATACTATCGATAATAATAATAGTATGGTGAATACTCCTGCTACAATTAATGATGATAATAATAGTAGTAAAAATGATGAACATACTGCATACAGAGGCATCAATTTTATGCATAATAAATCGAATATATTTTCATGTGATAGAATGCCTGTATCGCAGTCATTATTACAATCAACTTCCTTGTCATCAGGACTACCGGGTACACAGATGATGGTTCAGACACTACACCACCAATATCACCACCATCATAACCAACAACAACAACAACAACAGCAGCAAGGACAACGACAACAATCACCGCCTTTTCATACCTTTACTGAATCAAACTTAACACGAGAGTTGTCTTCATTTCGTTCAAAAGGAACAGTTGACTTAACAGCAACTATGGATATGGAACAACCACAACACCACCAACAACAGCAACAGCAACAATCAGAACGACAACCATTTTCTCAGTCACTAATATATCAATATAATCAACACCACCATCATTATTATCTTCATCAACAACAACACCAACAACAACAAAATCAGAAATTGCCGGTTAGTTTAAATTTACCGATTGCTACGACTTGTTCTGCTGCTGTTGGTGTTGCCGCTGCTACCACTATTACCATTACGAAGACGATGGAAACGGCGACGGCAGCGTCAACGACAACTACATCATGTTCATCATTGTCATCGAGTTTAAATCAATTTGACTTGTTGGATTTGTCTGTAGTGTCAAGTGTACACAAACCTGATAAACACGGGGAGATTATTAGTCATGATAATGCTGCTGTGAATTTAAAAAATACAATTACAGTGGATAGTATCACTTGTATTGATGATGACGATAATAATAATAATAATAATAGTAATGCTAATAATACAGGTAAATGTACATCGGAATCAGACGATTATGCTGATAGTCAGTTATCAGTTGCAGCAAAATTATCAAAGTCGCTTGCTGCAGATAATCTCTTCCGTAATCCTAAGGCATTACCTCCACCGAAAAAAATGAAAAGTAAACCAGCGCCTATATCAATTCCTCCACAAGTAAGTAAAAATTCATAACTGTATTATATACTTATATTTCCAAACGCCAAGTTCACTGTTAATGGTTTGAAAAACAATTCGGGGCATTGAGTGTATGTGATATTCATTACATATAAAGGGTATTTTTGTATTTTCCAAGGAATGAGTGAAAAAACAATAAACGATATTGTTGTTGTTTTTATTGACGTTTCGCTATTTAATGTTTCATCGAAGAAGACACTGCGAAGTGGTCGCGCTATGTCGTGAATTGGCAAAAGTCAGAATTCAAGGACCATTGGATCGGGTCCCAGTGGCTCAATGGTCTACGAGCTCGCCTTGTAACCAGAAGGTCCTGGGTTCGAATCCCGGTGGGTGTGTACTGATGAAGATTCCCAAACTAAGACGGGGGAAACAGCTGTCCAGTACTCCCAGGTGGTTTTCCAATGGTTCTCTAACTGATGTCAGCTCATGATTAAATCCTCCATGCTAATAGCTTTATCAAAGTAGTGTTATTAAACCGGAATTTACAAAATTCACTCAGCTTATATATCTATAACAAAAAGTTAAGGGGTGAGAAAATAGACATAGGTCAAGTTAAAGGAACATATTGAAAGTCAAAATAGCAATGAAGGTCACTAAACCAAATAACAGACGTAATATTACACTTGCTATGGTGTCAAAATAAAGTTTACTAACTTGATCATCGTTCATCTGTCTGGGGCCATTTTTCGTTGTCAAGTTGGTCGATTGGTAAAAATAAAAAAACCAAGTGTAGATTACAGGATTTCATCATAAGCTGACACTAGTTAGAGAACGATTGGAAAACCACCTGGGAGTACTGGACAGATGTTTCCCCCGTCTTAGTGTGGGAATCTTCATCTGTACTCACCCACCGAGGTTCGAACCCAGGACCTTCTGGTTACAAGGTTAGCGAGCTCGTAGACCATTGAGCCACTGGGACCCGATCCAATGGCCCTTAAATTCTAACTTCTGCCAATTCACGACATTGATATCAGCTAAAGAACCATCGAAAACCAGGGGGTGCGTACTGATGAAGAGTCCCAAACTAGGATGGAACTACTGACTGTCCAGTACTCCCAACTAGCTTTCCAATGGTTCTCTAACTAATCTCAGCTCATGATGAAATCCTGTAACCAATCAAATCCCTACAAACCAACACTTGAACAAAGTGTAGATTGTTGGTTTTGATCAGTGTGTAAAACAATAAAAACAGTGTGTGTGCTTACATAGTGAACTTGCTTATCACATTCGTGTTGATTTTGTCACTTCATGGGGGAGCGGAGGGAGGTGTTGTAACCAGGTCAAATTCTATTTTAGTCCATCATTCCTATTCAGCTCAGGCAATTTGGATTCCACTTCACCATATGAATTCCTTCTGATGATATTGGACGTTCTTTGTGATTTCTGAAGTGATTTTTCTGGATGATGATTTCAATATTGTCAAAATCAATACTTTGATAAAGCCTATTAGCAGCAGCAGCATTCAGTAACGAAACATCAGAAGTAAAAACAGCAATATCGTTGATTGTTTTTCATTCATTCATTCATTGAGAAATACAAAAATACCCTTTATTATCATGAATATCATAACTGTATTGATTTAATAAAGTAGCTGTAAGTGAAGTTGAAATACAGTTTGATTGATTGATTGAATGAATGAGAGTAAATTAGAAGGTTCAATGGCGCCGGTGTTAACCTGGTTTTGTGCTTAACGCCACTATATCATCAGCGTATGCGTTTACGTGTGTGTGTGTGTGTGCATGCATCAGATGGAACCATCATATCTATTTAAAACAGTTAGTTCCGTTTATGAATTTAGATAGTGTTATGTACTAGTTTTCCCCGTCGCCAAATTGTTATGTACTCGTCGCTAAATTATTGTTATGGTCTGGTCGAGAAACTAATAGTCCTGACGCGAGAAGGCGGAAATCAGAAGACCACTAGGTTTGCGATGATACTTCTATTGTCCAAACACAAGGAGACGAAAATAAATGGTCTCACACCAAAGTGGTAAGCAAGTCAAGTAGTTGTAAAGTAGTTCACACAAATTGTAAATGCGAATATATATAAATAATTCAGACAAGCGTGGGAAAATCATTAGACAGTCTTAACATGAATGGCTAATTATAATGGAGTGTCGATCCAATTATACATAGCGAATATGGCAGACATGCCAACAAACATATATGGATATATGTCACCAAGCAACGGACTGTCAACATACACTCATATTATATATAATATAATATAAGGAGAATACACATTAATAAAGGAGACAAGTTCACACAAGTGAAGTGGTCACAGACTAACCGAGCAAACAGAAAGAGAGACCAACATGCACACACACACATAAATATATATATGTGGATACATATCAGATAGGTAAGGTGCCTCTTCAGTAGAATCCAACGAATATACACTGAAGACACACTTGATGAAGAAGAAAGAAAGTTGACACACTCTGGTTGATAACAATTATCCAGACAAGTTCATCAGGAGATATAAAGTAGTCAGAACACCAAGACCCACTCCACAACTCGCCCCTAAGAAAAACGTGTACATCAAGCTACCCTATATGGTGCATCATAGCAGCTTGATAACTAGACAAAGACTGAATGCTGCTATTAAAAAGACTTTTTATGTAGCTAATATCATAATAATAGAGAATGTAAAGCCATTATATCTATCTAAGCCCTTCGAACATGCGAAAAATGACATCACATCCCACTGTATTTACCAATTTGAAAGTAAGTGTCGACACACATATACATAGGGAGGACTCATCGATCTCTGCAAGTAAAGCGCTTCAGAGCATATTCCTAAATGGCTCCAGAAACAAATGGATTCTTCAGAACCTATTAACGGTGAGAGAACAGGAAACCCAGCTCCTCTGCCTATTTCGAAACATATTACACAGGAGACAGGACATAAAATTGACGTTAACAGATCTTTTAAACCTATATATAAAACGTGTTCGGGGGAGGGTGTATCTTAAAGTTTGTGGAAGCCCTAGATGGCAATTAGAAAGTTCAAACCACCACCTTTATGTGTGGTCAAAGCAACAATTCATCATCACATTAAACCTTCCTTGGTAAATTTTGTTTTGATGCCAACCATAGCAGATGTACTATTACCTCTGCTATTTGGTTTAGTGGTTTTCATTGTTATTTTGACCTTGAATAGGTCCTTTTATGTTGGTCTAAGTAATCTATCTTCTCACCTCTTTATTAATTTCATATACGTATTCCTGTGACAAGTCCGTGTGTGATCAGATTGTTCGAAATGTGCTGGCGCAAATACATTACATCATATATATATCAAGAAGAGAGACATTTTTCATGATTATTCCTCAATTTTCTTTTTATTCTATAAAAGAACAAGAGGAATGGAAAAAACAAACACAACTCACTTGTTTCTCTTTGTCTACAGCAGATAACTAGTTAATCAGATTCTCTTTCTCTTGAAAAACATCGATTCTTCTTCTTACTTTTCAAAGAATATTAGGGACGTGTTAAAATGGACACTTTTACCAAATTATAGTATAGTCTAGTCAAAACAAAAAAAACTAATGGTAGAAAAGGAGAAAAACATCTCGAAATAATTCATTATTATTATTATTATTCCCTTAAGTTCTGAGTGGAATATAGGCCTTCAGCAATACATTTCCACTTTCTTTCATACTTTGTGCCATCCTTTTCAACTCGGTCCGAAATTGCTCATAATCTCTCATCTCTTCCATCCTATTACATGATCTTTTGCATGTCATTCTCGCACTGATGACCACCCACCCACTTGTCGTCTCCCATTTGGATTGCAGTCAAGTGATAGCCTGCATTGCACGTGATGTCATTCGGAAGCCTCCTCAACGTATGCCCCCCCATCAACCCATCTCTATTCTCTCTTTTACATATTTGTTGAGTGATTGTCTCTTGATTGGTTTGTTCCACTGCAGAGTTTCTTGTTAATAATTCTTTCTGGCCAATCCAGCTGTTGATGACAATCCTTTTCGAAAAACACTGGCCAAGTTTCTGACCCGTAATAGAAGGACCATTTCGCACAAACTGGAAGATATGCAAGGGAAAAGCAATAAGTTGGCAGAAGAAGCATCCAGAGAAGAGAGGACTTCCTTCAGGTGAACATAGAGAAAAGAGAGGTGATGAAGATTCCTGGCCAACAACAACAGACAACAATCAGCCAGAATAAATGGGAGGAACCTGAAAGAAACAACCTCCCTTACCTACACTTACCTGGGAAGCATCGCTTCAACTACAGGCAGACGGAACTGACGAGGATATCAAAGCAAGAATCACTGGGAAAAGCAAGACAAGCTTTCATTACTCTCAAGTCTGTGTGGAGGGGGTCAACAAACTCAACATCTAAAAAGATCCGGAATTTCAACTCCAATGTGAAATCAGTCACTGCCACTCACTATACGGATCAGAGACTTGGCGCCATGTCATAAAGAGCACCTCAAACAAACCACAGAACTTCATTAACAGTTGTCTTCGCTCAATACTTTGCTCAAGATCAGATGGCCGGTCAGAAAAGATCAGAAACAGGGATCTCTGGCAATGAGCGAACCAACCCAGCAGGAATCGATTGTGCAAAAAATAAGCAGGAAGAAATGGAGGTATGAATTGGCTGGCCATACTCTGAGGAAAGACGCCATCAAGTGACATCACTAGACAAGCCATTGCTCGAGTGGAACCAGGCCGAAAGGGAAGCGGCGAGTTGGTCGTCAGTGTAGGGGTGACTTGGAGGAGGTGATGTGAAAGGGAGATGGAAGCATGTGGGAAGACTTGGATCGGGGTGAAAACTTTAGCAGAGAACTGAAAGCAATGGAGACGTGCGGCTGAAGCCCTGTGTTCCTCTAAAGGAAGCAATAATAATAATAATAATAATGGAAGGATCGATTTCAAATTTGTGTTGAAAATCCAAATATTGTTCCTTAGTTGAGTGTGGAGGATTTCCAAACTGGTTTCAGGATGATGAAGGGATGTGTATCTCGACTTTCGGATTCTGACTTTGACACATTCATCCGTGCCATTGTCTGTAGTTGAAATGATGCTTTGTAGTTAAGCGAAGAGGGTAACCTGTATTAATATGCATTTTACCGAAATAACGTCATGTTAGTCTTGGGACATCATTGAAACTTCCGTAATAGTAGGAGCCTACATGTCAACAGAGAACGACTTTAGTCAATCAACAGGATCGATCCTAAATGATTTAAACAACCATTACAACTGATATATGTCCATTATTACACAAAAGAACAGCTTTCATAGGTAAAATGTCCCAGTGATGAATAAGGCTTGGGTGTTCGAACCGATGACTGAAGGATTGAAGCTCTCTTAGGTTGAATGTACACCTTTGCCAATTGCATAGCTAGTTAGAGGGGGGTAGTAATTCAGAAGTCATCACTTTTTCCCCTCGGAATTCAAAAAGTATTCAGACTACACAGTATGTGGTCTACTTGATACCATAAATGGTAAGAAAGAGAACAAATATAATTGTAGAATGATATGTACTACTGATTGATTAGAGTAGTTGGAAAACACTCAAGTTAACCAGCAAGTGCTTACTGATTACATCAAATTGCTCAGAATATTATTGTTATTTCCCTAAAATAAATGAATACCATCTCACATTTGTGGTTAGTTAATAATTCATTCTCTTGTGAAGAGGGTTATCTCTTAAAGTCAGAATCGCTTATGAATATTTAGACGATACTATTCAGGAAGTTAATTGGTGGATGGTGACTAGCAGTGGAATCCAAAACAGCGCACATTTCTACCCATTTGGGACTCGTCAGCTACCGAATATACCTGTGTTCCCCAGTGAGTCAGTGATGATGTTCCCAGTGAGGCTCGAACCCAGTGCCCATAGTTCCAAATGCCCCATAGCATTATCCACTAGACCACTTGGACCACGAGAGCTGGTCACCTCTTGTGAAACGGGTCATATTAATTATTTAATTGAATTTTAGATGTTCCCGCCGAATGATTGGACCGAATTGCTCGGTCTTTAAAACTATGGGCATTGGGTTCGAGCCTCGGGGGGGACATCATCATCCATTGTGGAATTCAGGTAAATCCAGTAGCTGACGAGTCCCAAATAGGACGAGATGTGCGTTGTCCTGGATTCCACTGCTAGTTCACTCAAATAAATAGCAGTTTCTTCAGCACCGTCTGAGTTCTTTCGAGATTTCGCTTTAACTTCTTGTTTTCTTCTCGCTAAATCTTGGAGGGTATCCATTCTCTATGAGGACTTGTCTGAGCCTCTCCAGTTCCCTGTCGATTGTATCACTGGAACATATTCTTTTGATTCTTGAAAATAAGGAGTGGATCAAGTTTCTCTTTCTTCTCAAAAGGACCCGGCTATGAAAATTCGTGTATTGACCATTCCATGTTGGTTTCTTTTAGGTTAATCTTTGAAGAGAACCATCAGATCTCCTTTTTAGAAACTTTGAGTAATTTTATCAATTATGTCACACACACACACACACACACCCTATTACTCAATAATATACCAATATACAATTTTGGTAAATATAAATATGACTGTACAGCACAACCTGTGAAGATGATTTTGTCGATAAAGAAAATTTTCTTCACCGTAATGTTGAACAATTAAATCTATTGAAGCTGAATGAGTACTCAACATTGTTTTTTTTTCAAAACTTTCTATGATGTTTATTTATTTTTATTTTAGAAATGAATTTCGTCGAATTTTTCCTGTTTTTAATTTTATCACGCTTCATGCTTTAATCTTTTCTTTTCTCTATGTTGGTTTATTAACTTTTTTTTGTTTACAGACTGGTGCAAATTTATCACGATTACGTTCACCGCGTGTATGGAGTTCGAAACATAACTCGATAGATTCAAGTCCTCCACCGTATACACCACCTCCAATGCTTAGTCCAAATCGTCAAGGTTCTGGTTTATTTGCTTCACTGTCAAAATGGTCAACTACACCCACGTCAACAAGTACAGGCAGTACAGGTAGTAGTTCTCTACGTTCACATAATTATCCTGGTGCTACACTAGTTAATCGTCGTTACTCGAGTTATTATTATCCTTACCATCATCATCAGTATAATTCAACTAATGTTGTATCCAGTAGTGTAACATCATTATCGAGTAGTACTGTTCTTCATAATGATGATTTGGATAGTAGTAGTCATAATACTACCAGTGGTCAGTTGAAACGTCGTCATGCAAGTAGTAGTGGAGGAGGAGGTGGCAGTACTATTCATAGTAATAATGATGGCAGTTATAGCAGTAATACAAGTGGAATTGGCGCTTCAAATCAAAGTATTAACATCATGGATCCTAATTATAACAATAGCAATAATAACTATAATAGCAATTTTATTAATAATACTGATACATGTATGCGAGATATCAATCGACCCATAGCGTATACACGTAGACGACGTCAACAATTAACGCCTAAATCTGCACCTGTATTGTTTCTCAATACATGTACAAATAAAAATCAGGTATTGTTATTGATTGATTTATTTATTTATGTATTTATTTTATTCCTTTACGCGTTTCCAGTGGTGGAACATACGAGGGAGGGGGGCTTCAAGCTAGAGTCTTGAAGTTTCGGTATCAGCAGTGGTGTTTATTACTTTTACAGGATGGGGTTGCTAGCCTGCCTTATGCCCGCAACCTTCCCACTTTACCAGTCTTGTTACTGCTGGCTTAGCGAGGTTAGAGGAAGGAGTGCGTCTGTGGGGCCGGGTATCGAACTCGGGACCACATGGTGAGGCGTGGTTGGCGAGGATTCTACCACTGTGCCATCGACACTTTTTATGATTATGAGTATTAAACACAAAATAATTGAGCAAAGAATATCCTTTTCGATAATTTCCTCCTCTTCTGGTTCTACAATTACCTATATGTGTGTGTTTATACACATAGAATATTCTAGAATAGTAGTCGATAACAATATTAGTGTTTTTTTTTAAAAATGATATCGACTTGTTAAGTAAGATCACAATGGAATTACAGTTCATTAAAGATGCTTAAATAATAATAATAATAATGAAGATATAATAGAAAATAGAATATCAACTAAAATTAGGAAAATTCCACAACCGATTGAGGATCATTCGAACTTAGATGGCCAAGGTAAAGACAATGTCTGAATTTGCTTCTTTTGGACACATAAGTTAGCTTCTTAATGTGGATCCTAACGGCCAGTCTCAGCACTATATGCAGTGAGCGAACTCTTAAGGAGAAGTTAAGATTTTTTGGTGTGTGGTAAATGACTTCGAAAGCCGCCCCGTTAGTATCAATCTTGTATTCTGTATTCACAAGATGAGATAGGATAGCGCCATGTGAATGGATTTTGTTTGTCCTTAACTTAACCAACTAGTATGCAGGATGATGTTGAGAAATCCGAGAAGAGAAACACGCCTGATTTTACGGCCTATGCAACTAACTGAGTCACTTCACAGGAGCAGTTCAATTTATAGGTACACATGGAAGAGGCGAAATTAAACACTTGATCTTTTACTGCCGAACGCAAAAGAGGAGTGGGCGGTCTTGAAGACACAGTGTAATTCAGCAGCAGGGAATGTGTATCTATCTTCCGTGTGTAATTACCACCTGAGCTACGGATCCTCTCCATCATATATATATATATATATATATATATATATATATCATAACGATGCATACCTGGATATCATCAATTATTATTATCATTCCCTTGGGTTCTTAGTGGAACATAGGGCTTCAACTGCACGTCTCCACTTGCCACTTCTGTCTTCCTTCTGATGTACTTTTCACCTCCATCCATCCATGTTAGTCCATACTGTTTCAACTCCTCTTCACACGATCTCCTCCATGTCAACCACCCTTGCACTTACGTCCCACTCGCCGCTTCCCTTTTGGCCAGGTTCCACGCGCGCGCGATGTCACCCAGCGGCCTCCTGCTCAGCGACTGTCCAATCAATAAGTGATCGAAATCATTTTCGTCTGATATATACCCACTATCTATAGCCACCTATCTACTTGTCTATCTGCCTACCTACTCACCTGAGTGATTAACTAAGCTGCTTCTTAGTTAGTGCTTCACTTGACAGTTGACAATTTTGTTTTGTGATACACAATCGAAACTGTACTCAAAGTATATATATATATATATATATATATATATATAACAGTATTTGTGGTACAGGTACGGAATTTTCAGCGTGCATTACAATATATTGCATCTAATTACCTCATAAATTTTATAAGATTTTAAAATGAAAAAGCAACACCCAAAAAAGAAGATAAATAAAAACATAAATAAGAGAACAGCGTTGCGTTTACATTTTAAACAATACACCGCAGAGTATGAAGAATAAAATTGGTGTGTAACAGAAGATAAGAACAACGGTGTAATAGTAACGAGGAAGGAAAATCAAAAACTAATGGGAACTATTTGTTAGAGTGCCGCAGTAAGTTGATCGTATCATACCTAACGGATTTCTCATCACATAACAGCTGTGCCAGATAAGGTATTGTGGAGTTTTGTACTTGGTAGTCCTAGCATGTAGCCTCCTATAGCTGCTTCTAGTTCTACCAGATGAAATGCAAGAAGAGAGCTGCGTATAGAGAGGATGCTCGGGTTCCGACAATATTGTATTCGCTAGTTTCTTACATGATATAATATGTCTACCCACAATAGTGTTAACCAGTTGGTTTGACGATATCCCACTTGCCCTACTAACGGCTTTTAGTGCCCTTTTGAGCAAATCAAAGTCTTTCTTAAGTCGTCTAGGAAAGATTAATGGGGAGCAGTAAAGGGGGATGGGTAGAATACAAGAATTGACAAACTGAGAAAGCAAAGATTGCTTTATACCAGACTGCCTAAATTTCCTAATGTAGAACGTTAAGCGAAACATCTTTCTAGTAACTAGCAAGATGTGGGAGGACCAGAAAAGATCGGAGGAAATACTCATTCCAAGGTACTTGACATTGGATGTATTTTCAACCTCTATACCGTCAATGATAGTGGGGCCATGTTAGCTAGCTAGTTGTTGTAGGTCACACTTTCGTCTGAAAAAGAAATTGACTACCTGACATTTAGACGGATTCAGCTTAAGGCCGTTTGAAGAGGACCACTGACTAATTTCCGACAGAAAGTTATTTAATTTGGAACAATCTGACTGAGAGTTGACAGGCATAGAAACCGAGAGGTCATCGGCATACTTAACAAAAGTGGCTACATCAGAATGAGGCAAGTCATGTAAGAAAAACGAAAACAGAAAAGGAGAAAGAACAGCACCTTGAGGAACACCAGCTTAAGTAATTGGGGTAGTGGAGTACTTTCCATTGTAGACGGTGCGTATATGTTAGGGCTGAGTTTATCCTACACGTTATAAGACTATTCATCAAACATATTCGAATATTTGTGTTTGTAAGCTTTAGTATATATATATTTGTATAGCCTAATGACATGTTTAATACTGTCAGACACGTAGACATATATATATATTGATTATATACTAAAATCATATGCTCTCTTTCTCTCTCTTTAACTATGCATACATTTCATTGTTTCTTCAGTAAGAACGACAATCGTAGTTTAAAAAAAAACCAGAGTGACATCGGTTAACTCGAATAGACAGACTGTGACTACTAGCCTTTATATATTATTGGTATAATGAATTTTTGATGTTCATCAAATATGTATATAACTGACAATCGAAAAAAAAAATAAAGAATTTCTTTTTTTTAACATTTAACTATTAGTGAAGGGAATTATCAGTTTTTACCAAAAGACAATGATGATGATGTGATGAATACACTTATTTGATTGAATGGAGGATTTCATCATGAGCTGACTGACATCAGTTAGAGAACCACTGGAAAACCAGCTACAGGGAGTACTGGACAGCTGTTTCCCCTGTCCTAGTTTAGGACTCTTCAGCAGTACGCACCCCACCTCAGGAGGAGGTTCGAACGCAGGACCTTCTGGTTACAAGGTGAAAATTATTCTGATGCGCACTAGTGACTGGCCCTATTCAGGCAGTTAACCTCGAGTTTTAGTGGGAAGCCGTGACCAGTAGGGTATAGCAGGTTGAAAAAGATATTGCGAAATAGTTGCGCTATGTCGTATATGAATTTGGCAGAAGTTAGAATTCAAGGACCATTGGATCGCGTCCCAGTGGCTCAATGGTCTACGAGCTCGCTGGCCTTGTAACCAGAGGATCCTGGGTTCAAATCCCTGTGGTGGGCGGGTACTGCTGAAGAGTCCCGAACTAGGCTGACGAAACAGCTGTCCATTACTCCCAGGTGGTTTTCCAGTGGTTATCTAACTGATGTCAGTCAGCTCATGATGAAATCCTCCATTCAATCAAAACAAAAAAGATCCCTACAAAACCAATACTTGAGAATATATTTTAATCAACTTTTGTGTAAAAAGTGTTATGTTGAAAACACTGGTGGTGGGGGGGGGGTAATTTCAAGAGTTGGTTTGTAGGAATTTCATGGATTGATTATAGGATTTCATTATAAGCTTAACATCGGTCGCAGAACCATTAGAAAGCCAGCACTGGGAGCACTGAACAGCTGTTTCGCTAGCCTAGTACCTGGGACTCTTCAACAGTACGCACCCACTCTGGGGTTTGTTTGTTTGGTCATTCCTCCAATAGAATTAGAAATCTTAAAATGCAGTCATCAACATCGGTTTTTTAAATTCAATTTTAGATTTTTCTTGTTGATTAATTGAACCGAAGTGCTCGGCCGTAGGTTGACATATCTGTCAGCTTCCTTTGCAGATGCATCGACGATGTCTGGGCATGTAATTCGAAGTTAATTGGTAGAGATATGGTGACTTGCAGTGGGCGCTGGGTTCTAACCTCGGTGGGAACATCATCACTCACTGTGGAATGCAGGTGCATCCAGTAGCTGACGAGTCCCGAATAGGACGAAATGCGCGTTGTCCTCGATTCCACTGCTAGACGCCAACCACCAATTAACATCGTTTTTTTGTTTTGTGCATTTCTATTCAGAGCAAGTCCTATGGAGACAGGGTGAGAGAGGAAGAGAGAGAGAAGACAACGCGTCATCTATGATAAATTATATAGACTGAAAGACTAAGAGTGACAAAGAAAGAAATGACTAATTAATCCCACTGTGTTTTCCTTCACAGTTGTTTCTGATTTGCATTTCCTTTAAATGGTGACAAAAGATATACTGACTTGCAACACTGGATTGATTTTGACACGTCTATGCCTTAAAATTCATAATCTTAAAGTATTAACAACACTAATAATTTAGACTTCAGGATCGATAGATTTTAATAGAGATATTTAGCATTGAATGATATATAAACCCTTTGGAAAAAAGAAGAAGCCTTGTGCTCACCTTTTTGCTGCAAGTACTGTAGAGCTTTTCATCAGTTGACTAGTGTGCAACGGATGTTTAGCGAGTTGGAGATTGACTGATTTTAACAGGGTACAGTCTCGTCAACTTAGAGTATATGTGGATTATATTGTCCTACTAGGTGTGAAGACCCTGAGCAAAAAACCCTCGAATATTCGCCATGCTATTCGTTTCTGTTAGATGTAAGATGATTATGCTGCAGGAATGGAATGCATCGACTCCCACCTTAGAGAGAGAGAGAGAGCGTGAAATAATGGGAGTATGTTGTGAATGCTTCATTTATTTGAGAAGTTGCATCAGCCCCAACGGTTTGATGGCTGACGAAATCTTAACAAAGAATCAAAAAGCTCATGAGATATTTGCCAAATTTTGTCTATTCTGGCGTAGACGTGTGTATACACTGCCCAGTTTTTTTTTATCCGTCCTCTTTTATGGCTGTGATATATAGCCATTGAAAGCGGAATAAATGAGAAGTATTGAGGGAATATTTGCATAAAGGGCATAAATTATGACGAAGAATAATTGTAATAATAATATTTGTAATAATAAGCAAAGGAAAACAAAAATCAAGAGCGTTAAGGGGAAGGAGTACTCTTGGTGAGAAGAAGAATCATCAATCCAATTTCGGACACGGTAGGAACAACAGCGTCTGGACGTGTTTCATTTCTTTGGATACAAAGTTCCCGTTTTTAGTCGATCTTATTTCAACAGCTTCAACTATATGTGTAGGAGACGTAAGCGAACTGTGTACGTGATAACAACTTCACAATGCGGTATATAACCTTGAAAGCTGTGTTGACATCGATACGATGTCCAGTAGTCTCGACCAAGTGTCACAGGAGTGAGCTTTTTTTATGCACTTAATTTCCCCCACCCTTGCCCCCTCGCCTGTTGAACCAATCTGGTAAATGTTCTCGAACCCGTAGATGAATCTGCCTAATCGTGCGCCCTATATAACTTGGAATCATGAGTTTGTCATACATTCTTATGTTTCATCTAATTTAATAGTGAAATTATTTTGCATGTGTAAAAAAATCTTTGTATTCAAGTTGACTTTTTGTTCCTTCCCGCCCCCTCCTTTCCTCTAATCTCTATAGACAAATCAATCCAAAGATCAATTTGATGATAATGAAGATAATACTATGAATGAAACACAACAACAACAACCAACATTTTCTAGTACTGATACTATATTCGGTTATGATGATGAAACAATGCGTCGATTCGCTGAAGCTGATGCTGTTCACGAAGCCTATCGATTAAGTCGACAAAAACAACGTCGAAGTAATTATTCCTCACGTCGTCATAATTATAATTCAGAATCTAATCTTATCTTAAATGATCATCATAATGATATTATCAATGAAAAGAATAAAACTGATCAAAGTTTTAATTTTACTGATGAACAATTATTAAATTTTGATTTTGAAATGAAAACTTGTGGTGAAACGGATTACTCTGAAACAACTATGCAATTTAATGAAGATGCTGTTGAATTTGGTTCAGCAGGTGATGAAATGGACGATGATGATGATGATGAAGAGATCGATGAAGATGACGATGATGATGATGAAGGTGTACCGACCAGTATTATCCCGTGAGTAATTAATTGTGTGATAACATCGTAACATCAGTAGGGTCTATCAAGTTATACAAGAGGACAGTTTACTTGCCTTTTTGACATTGTCTAGCCGTTGCGCTAAATATATATCACAAAATGGCAGAAGTTGGAATTCATGGGCTAGCAGCCATTGGGTCGTGCCTTGTAACCGAAAAGTCCAGGGTTCGAACCTCCTCCTGTGGTGGGGTGCGTACTAATGAAGAGTTGGAAACAATTGGCTGTCCAGTGCTCTGCTTGTGGACTTTCTAATGGTTCTCTAACCGATGTCAGCTCATGATGAAATCCTGTAATCCCCACTCGTGACCAAATCGGTAACCAATAAAACCGCTGCAAACCAACACTTGTTAGTTGTGATGATACAAGCGATGAGAATACTTTTTGAGCTAATGAGTGAGAGGTTTTAAGCTAAGCGATTCAATTAATATATGTGTAAAACTTGAGCACTGTGGCAGTATATGTAATTTCATATAAGTTTGTTTATTTAGATGTATCACACAGTGAGTGAAACAGTATTACTGTTTACTCTAAATGACAAGGTTTCGAACAAACTTTATTATTGTTCATAATCATATCATCAATCATAATCACACGACTTTGAAACTTCGCAACATTAAGAAATCTAAATCATCAGTAGTAATTCCATACGAGGAAGGAACCTCGGAAACCAAAAGCAGAATTCTTAACAAAGCAGGAATAAAAGTGGCTGACATTCGAACCACCCACAAACTTAATTAGAAACCAGCTCTGTTGAATAAAAAATCCTGTGGAACAGCACATTAAACTAAACAATTTAGTTTATCTAAATACCCTGCCTGCAATGATTGTCAGATCAAATACATAGGTCAAAGTAATAGAACAGGGGAAGTCAGTCAGACTAGCCGAGCATAAAAACCTAGCAGCAAAATCAAGATTAGTTGACCCGAATAAAATAAGAAATCTGGCAAATAGTTCAGTCGTAGATAGCACTCACTACATGCAATTACACACAATTACAATAGGATAGGTGGGATAGGATGACAGTTTTAAAATCTAATGTAACAGGGTCTGTCTGTCTGTCTATTTTCGACATAGAACTTTGCACAAATGTGCGGAATTTCAAGTCTCCACACTCCGTGTAGCACGCGAAGCAAGAGAAGAAAGTACAAGAAAAGCATAATAGAAACAGTGAGCAGAGGTATGAAACAAAGGAGGAGTAATAACGAAGAACAAAACAGTTTCATTAGAGATCATAAGTCACAAGGAGTGGATGTATCTGCGCAAGCCATTGAAAACAATTTTGAGCCATATCGTTGCCAGCTCTCGGTTTTTACCGTCCCGAGGACCCAAGCCTGGAAGTCTATACCTTCCTACGTGACTGGCTTAAACTAACTGTTTTGGATTTCATTGACTGGTGCCATGTTTTGGTTTGACCGCCGCTAACCTTTTTCCAGCCTGACCATATGTCAGCTGACATTGCCCGTCGTCGAGGAAGGTGATGACTAGGCATGAGTAACACATGTCCTAACCACCTCAATCGGTGTAACATCACATCCTCGTCGATTGATTTCCCCTGTTTACGTAGAACTCGACGCCTAACCTCAATATTGCTCAGATTATTATGCCACTTAACATGGGAAATAAAGTGCAGGCACCTATGATCAAAGACAGCTAGTCTTTTCATGTATTCCACAGGGTGGTGAGTGGGGAAGATTGATAACAATGGAAGCTTTATCTATCGAATCACAACTGCATATGCTGCACGTATTAGGAATGATTCAACACCTTCCCCCCCCCCCAGACATCTGTAAATTCTACAACCACAACAAACGGGAGAGAACAAAGAAAACAACTATAAAACTCAAGTTTCGCAGTTGTGTGATTAATTATAATGGATGATATAATTCTGAACAATAATACATTGAGTTAGAAACCCTGTCATCCAGTAAACAATAATACACACTGTTTTTCACTCAATGTAGTACATCTTAATAAGTAATTCAATTGTCTAACCAGCTTTTTTGTTCTAGAAAGTAGTTTTAACACAGGGTGATAGGCTCAAACAGAAGGCAATTCCCCATGGATGAGAAAATAAACCGCCTATTATCTGTATTGGCTTTATTAAACTCATTTTTTTTGGAAAAGTTTTTGTTATCTCATTCGCTATAAATAGAATGTGCTTCAGTAGTTCAATTGGTTGAATGCTTTCCACCCACATCTCACACATGCTTCAGGTTCGCCGCTTCCCATCCAGTGCATCACCTCTAATCACCTCCAACCGGTAATAAGTCTTGTAAAGAGTGAAAGTTGAACACGAGGGGCTAACCAATCCCCTTGGCATTAAAACAAAATTATCACCCTGGAATTCCAAAGCTTAAGCATGAAGTCTAATTATTTGTCTGGATTCGAACAGTTTGCGGTAGGGTGGTTGTGTGTATTCAGCTTTCTGCACAAGATACTTGTTCCTCTCCCTCCCTCCCTCCCTCTCTCTCTCTCTCTGTAATCTCTGGGATAATCATACTCATCCTGTCCTGTGGTTCTATGCTCTTGGAATTGAATCCTCTGAGCTAGTTGGTTTAATTGTGAAGCTTTTGATATTGTTCTTTTAGACGATATCTTCAGCGGTAACTTCAAGATGAATATATCTAGTTCAGAGAACACAATAATAAAATCATTCACTTGAGTTACAAATCTCCTCCATTATTATAATAAATTAGATTATTCAAGTGTTGGTTTGCAGCGGTTTTTATTTTGGTTAAAGGTTTGGTCACGAGGTGGCGCATCAGTTAGAGAACTATTGGATAGCCAGCTGTTTCGTCAGTCTAGTTTCTGACTCTTCACCAGTACGTACTCACCACCAGGGTTTGAGCCCAAGATATTCCGGCTACAAGGCTGGCGAGCTCGTAAACCATTCAGCAGCCATTGGGACACGACTCGACCCAATGGCCAGCCCATGAATTCCAACTTCTACCAATAATAATAATAATAATAACAATAATAATAATAATGGTGATAATAATTTGCTTTATTCCAAAACAGTACTTGTGATACAGAATGGATTTCTCAGCATTTCACTACATACAGTATTGCATCCAGTTAGTACATTATCAATAAATAAAATTCTACATAGGTTATCGGTAATGTTCGGTTAGTTTTGACAACAACATATTAGCATGTGGGTAGCTAAGCCAAAAAGTGAACAGAATGTTTGAAGGTGTTAGAAAAGTAGATACTAGCATATTTACTTTGCTGGCGTAAGCGGTAGGTAACAAAAGCTCGAGATATACAGAGTGTGAAAGAACGAAGAAGAATGTTTTAAGTAGAGTTTGTAGGGATGAAAGAAACAAAGCAGCACATAACAGAAAAACAGAGAGAGAAAAGGAAAAGGAAGAAAGAAAACGTTGTACCTATAAATGATATGAGTTGGAAAGACGAGATCCAGTTGCTCTACTGACTATTTAATAAGTTATAGGTTTCACGCCTAATGCTTTCTTTATCGCAGAGTACACGAGTTATGTAGGGTATGGTTGAGTTTTTGTACCTGTTAGTGCGAGCATATAGTTTTCTATATAGACTTCTGGTTACTGCTGTTATGAAGAAAATAAAAGACAAATTCAGCGAAGAAAATGCTTCTCTTTATCGACGAAATCATCTTCAGAGGCTGTACAGTCGTATTTATACTTAGAAAAATATATAGTGCTCTATTATTGAGTAATAGGGGGTGACATAATTGATATAATTAATCATAAGTGGCTTTAGAAGCGAAAATTAAAAGTTGTAAATTACGTGGTACTCAATGTCACAAAGATAGAAATTTGATAAGGTTAAAATTGCTCTTGAGTGAGAATAAAGGTGGTATTTGAGTGTCAATTTAACAAGTGTGAAGAGGGTGTAAAAATGTACAATAGGAACATATGAGAGTGATAATAGTGAATTAATTATTAAAGTAAAAGCAAACTAAAAGTAAAATTGAAATTTTTTACAGGGAACGACTGGTGAAGAGGTTAAGACCCAGGTAGAATAAGAGACTGGACAAACTTTTTCTGTATACAAAGTTCAGGGGTGTATTGATGAATTGCCAGCGCCTCCGCCATACACAAAAGCCGAAACCTGACGCCCTTTATACCGTTTGGCTTCACTTTGTAGATGATGTTGAAAGACGACTCTGGTGGAGCTACGTGGCCTGAGTTCACCAAATGCTCGAGAATTGAGCTTCATCGACTTCGAAAAGGCCTTCGACAGCGTCGATCGAGAGGTCATTTGGAAACTACTTCGCTACTACGGGGTCCCATCGACAATTATACACCTCATCCAACAGTTATACGACAATGCTGCATGCCAAGTAATCCACAACGGGAAACTTACGGAATCCTTCGAAGTGAGGACGGGAGTGAGGCAAGGCTGTCTACTATCACCAATGATCTTCCTGATTGCAATTGATTGGATAATGCGACAGACAACGGCAACCAACGAGGGAACAGGCATAAAATGGACTGACACAAAAGACTTGGAGGATCTGGATTTCGCCGATGATATATGTCTGATTTCCCATAAACTGGAAGATATGCAAGTGAAAAGTAACAAGTTGGCAGAAGAAGCATCAAAGATAGGACTTCACGTGAACATAGATAAAACAGAGATAATGAAGATTCCTAGCCAACATCAACAGCAACAACAACAACAGACAACAATAAGCATAAATGGGAAGAACCTGAAAGAAACAGCCTCCTTCACCTACCTGGGAAGCATCGTCTCAACTACAGGCGGAACTGACGAGGACATCATAGTCAGAATCGGAAAAGCAAGACAAGCTTTCATTACTCTCAAATCTGTGTGGAGGTCAACAGCAATCAGCATCAAAAATAAGATCCGGATTTTCAACTCCAATGTGAAGTCAGTGCTGCTATACGGATCAGAGACTTGGCGAGTCATAAAGAGCACCTCAAACAAACTTCAAACCTTCATTAACAACTGTCTCCGCTCAATACTCAAGATCAGATGGCCGGCCAGAAAAGATCAGCAACAGGGATCTCTGGGAGCGAACCAATCAGGAACCGATTGTGAAACAAATAGGCAGAAAGAAATGGAGATGGATTGACTGGCCATACTCTGAGGAAACCATCAAGTGACATCACTAGACAAGCCATCACTCGAGTGGAACCCGAAAGGGAGGCGGCGAGTTGGTCGTCCAAGGGTGACTTGGAGGAGGTCATGCGAGGAGGAGATGAAAGCATGTGGACAGACCTGGAGCAGGGTGAAAAAGTTGTCAGAAAACCGAAGTCAATGGAGGTGGGCAGCTGAAGCCCTATGTTCCTCTAGGAACTAAAGGATACAATAATAATAATAATAATTGTCTTGCATTGTCCCTTTGCTAACCACGCCGGATAATGTACAGAGATGCGTTTGGAAAGTGTGCGGGCAGCCAATATAACTAGCTACGGAGGAGCAGGTGAATTTATAAACACCCATTGAGGTGGCCCAAAGCGGCAGTTTATCCTTCACACATCCGTTGATCATTTGTCGGCTGTAGAAATTGATAGGTAGCTCAGCCATAAAGAAGGCTTTCCTCAGTGATCTGCATAAGCGATTCTTCAGGATCTCAGCTGCAGTATCACCTTTAAATTCAACACTCATAAACAGCAGTTTCTTCGGCACCGTCTGGATTCTTTCAGGCTTTTCTCTTAACTTCATGTTTTTCTCGATAAATCTTGGAGAGTATCCATTCTCTATGCGGACTTGTCTGAGTCACTCCAGTTCCCTGTTGATTGTATCACTTGAACATATCTTCCTTATTCTTGAGGATAAGGAATGGATCAGATTTCTCTGCTGCTGTTAATCAAACATTTCAGAAGAATAATTTGTGAAATGATCAGTCGAATAGTAAATATTTAGACTTCACCAGACGAATGACAAAAGCTATAATGTTCAACAATATATTGGAATAGAAAGGTGAAGCGTGAATAAATTCGATTCATGAGTTGTATTGATTTCTTTACGCATATCACCATGGTACAAAGATTTTATGACCTGACTGTTAATCCTTGTGTTATTTCGACAGTACTATACAAAGAATAAATTACATTTTCCTTACATGACTTAGAATAACATGTTTCAAGATACTATCCTTTCTTGGAGTGAATCTAAACGTCTGATGCGATTGATACGGAAAATCCCAGGATTAACTAGTTCATTACTATTTTTATGTGATGAAATACATCATAATCTAATTGGTGGATGGTGACTAGCATGTGGAATTCTGGACAACGCATATTTCGTCCTATTTGGGACTCGTCAGCTACCGGATGTGTACCTGCATTCCCCAGTGAGTCAGTGATGAGGCTCCCACCACGAAGGCTCGAACCCAGTGCCCATAGTTCCAAATACTCCAAAGCATTATCCACTAGACCACATGAACCACGAGAGCCACCCCGCCTCTTGTGCAACGGGTCATATTGATTATTTGATTGAATTTTTCATCATAATCTGTTCTTATATTAGCTGGTGAGTTGGTTAATCTGAGCAAATCTCTTGTGGAGCTTCTTTTTTTGTCTTTTGTCTACCCTCCAATTTTGTGTATTTATTTTAGACATATTAATATTGGTAATGCTTATCAAGCAGTGATTCCTGATTTGTGTCAAGGTGAGTAACACTCATGTTTCAAATCTCTCTTTATATTTAACATAATCGTGTGGGGTGTGCTACTGATAATATTTATTAGTAGTATGTAAGATGTCGTTCATCGGCAAAAAAAATATCAAATAGCGCAGATTGATATAGACTTGACGTCATAGAGGGAGGGAGAGAGAGAGAGAGAGAGAGCAAATGAACCAGTGTTGCAGCAAAACATGTGTGAGACACAAAAGGAAGATAAAAAAGAAGACAATACGCGAAGGTCTGAAATAGCACAACACAGAAGATCTATGCAGCAAATGACGATTTTCAGATGGGGGTGTACATAATCTCGCTATATACACAGAAATATCAAATTCCAGACAAACATCTCGTCACGTTGCCAAATCTCCTGTCTTCTATCGTTACAATATAGTAGATGGGTAGAGATAAACAAGGAGACTGGTAGACAGGAACATCATAAGACCCCTGTGTGTGATATTCTACTTGTATAGGTCTGGTGCGTCGGTAACACAGCGGTTAGGACGCTCGCCGACCATGCAGGTGGTCCGGAGTTCTATTCCCGGCTACAGACGCGCACTCCTTTACCCTCGCTTAGCCAGTAGTAAGACTGGTATAGAGGGGAGGACGGGCATGAGGCTAGCAATCCCACCCTGTAAAAATAAACACCACTACTAAAGAAGCTTCAACCTTCTAGTCCCCTATGTTCCACTCGGAACGTAAAGGAACAAAAAAATGCATCTTCTCTGCTGCTCTTCTGCAAATCATCTCACTGGTAAAAGAAAGATTTTTAATTTTCAAGGGTTGGTTTGTAGCTGTTTTTTTTTATTGGTTATACGTTCGATCACGAGTTGAAATGGGTTAGAGAACCACTGGAAAACCAGCACCTGAGTACTAGATAGCCAGCTGTTTCATCCTAGTTTCGAACTCTTCAGCATTACGCACCCAGTGGGGTTCAAACGCAGGATCTTCCTGGTTATAAGGCTAGCGAGGTTTAAGACTTTTTTCAGAAGCCATTTGGTGCTCAGTCCAGTCGTCTCATGCTCTCACTGACTTTTAGTGTGATATCTATCCTTGACATAATCTTCCTTGGAAAGCAAAGTCAATGAAATTGAGGACAAATAGAAGTGTTCAATAAGAAATTCCATTAAATAATGACTCAAATAGAGAGAAAACAGTAAATCTGGGATCATATCTGTAGGATTTGAATATGTGATCTTCTGTTCACACTTAGCTTACCCCTCTGTATCCTTCTTCTAGCCTCTTAAGAGATAAGAGATGCATGATATCATTTCATTCTGAAGGAAATCCAGTATTTTTAACTGATCAACATATGAGTATTTCAGTTTAATCTGAAAGAACAATAAACAGGTACTTCTGTCTGCCTGTCTGTTTTCGACATAGAACTTTACACATATGTGCACCAGTTCAAGTCGCTACACTCCATGTAGTACACAAAGCAAGAGAAGAAAGTAGAAGAAATGCATATTAGAGACAGTAGACAGGGATGTGAGGCAAAAAGAATAGTAATATCGAATAACAATATAGTTTCACTGGAAATCATAAGTCACAAGGAGTGGATGCATCTCCACTAGTCATTGAGAATGATTTTGTGCCATATCACTGATTGTTTCCAGCCTTCATTGGTTTTTACCGTCCCGAGGACCCCAACCAGCCAGTCAGGAAGTCTACACCGCTATACGTGGCTTAAACTAACTGTTGTGGATTTGATTGTCTGATTTCATGTTTTAGTTTGACCGCCACTAGCTGGCTCTTTTCCAGGCTGACCCTATATCAGCTATTATTGCCCGTTGTTGAGGAAAACGATGGCTAGGCATACGTAACACATGTCCTAACCATCTCAGTCGATGTAATTTTACAGCCTCGTCGATTGATCCCTTTCCCCTCCTTACCTAGAACTCGACGGGCGCCTAACCTCAATATTGCTGACCTTATTATACCACTTCACACGGGAGATAGAGCGCAGGTACCTATGATCAAAGACAGCTAGCCAGCCAACCGTTTCATGTCTTCCACTCTCAATGGCCAGGTCTTGCTCACAGCCATAAAGGTGGACAGAGCGGACTGATGAGCAGTACATCAGCCCTTTGGTCGATAGCCTGCAGGATATCACGTCTACTAAGCCAGAGACGACGTAAACTGGTATATGAGAAGTTAGCCCTCTGTATCCGTGGTGAGATTTCGTCGGAGATCAACCCGTTGGCACTGGCTGACGCAACTTCCCAAATAAGTGGAGTGGACAGTGTGCTCTACCACTTCACTCCCTATTTCTAATCTAGGAGTCGGTGAAGTCCAGTCCTCTACCATTATCTTGCATTTGGTGGGAGCGAATCGCATGACAAACATTCGTAGATTGCAGCTCAAGATGTTTAGAAGACTCTGCTTTATTTTGTCAGCGTCCTCACCTAGAAGGACTATAGTCTGCTTATTCTTAGTCAATGAGATTATTCCCTTATAGTGACGAGTCAATCCCTGAGTCGCTGAAGTGAGTTAGGGTTAAGTCCATTAGTGTATCTATGATGAAGTTGAGTACAAAAGGGGATAATGGGCATCCTTGACGGACACCACTAGTCGTCACCAGTTCAGATGACAACTCGCCGTAAGCCCTCACCTGGCTGTATGAGTACGAGTAGAGTGCCTTAATCAGTGCAATGTATTTTCTCGTCATTCCCTTTACAGCCAAGCATCTCCAGAGAACCTCCCGGTCGACAGAATCGAATTCCGCCTTTAGGTCAAGAAATATAATGACTGTTGGACGCCGGTAGGAATTCCTATGTTCTAGAATCTGTCGGAGGGTGAAGATATTATCAACACACCCTTTTCCTGGTACTCAGAAAGAGGCTAGTGGTGATGATGAATCACATCATTGTCACACAAGATTTTGGCTTGACTTCAATTGTTTTTCTTTTCCGTTACATTTCTAGTAGAATATAGAAGGAAGGGTGGCTTCAAGCTAGAGCCAGCTTGAAATTTCGGTAGTAGCAGTGGTGTTTTTATTTTTACAGAATGAGGGGGTGGGGTTGTTAGTCTGCCTAATGCCCAATCTTCCCTTTTTAACTAATCTTATATTACTGGCTAAGAGAGGTTCGAGAGTGCGTCTTTGACCGGGGATCAAACCTAGGAGACCACATGAGGTGTGATTGTTAAGGATTCTATCACTGTGTGCCAGTGACAGACTACATTACATTGAAAGAAAGAGAGAAAAAGGCGTTTTCAGAGTCACATGTACTTTTGTCTAAAGTGAAAAGTACTTACGTAGGCTACTTACTTTATGCAGGCTGATATTTTTGACTACGATGTCATCAACTATTAATGACATGATATATTGATAAAATAGGATTATATAATTCTCTGGATTTATTGACTTTTATGGCTATAATTACTTCTCCTTAACCGTATTTGCGTGTGTGTGCGCGTATACGTTTATCGAAATACCTATTAATTCTTCTTCTTCGTCTATTATTCTGTTTATAATTTGATGACACTTAATAACAATCTATCAATATTTTTGTTCTACTTATTCAGTCTCTGTTGTTGTTGTCTTTTCTCTTAATCAATAATCACGTAATTTATGCAATTTGTTAATTTCAGAGTCAGCAACAGCCACAGCAGAGAGTAAAGATTCATCAGAATGGGAAACATTACTATGGTATCCAGATAATCTTGATGAAGACGATCCTAAAAATATTGAATCATGTAAGTTTTAATATTTTCGTTTATGGTTTATAATGACAAACAATGGCTTTGTATAATATTACAAATGATGGCATTGTATAAGACTAGATACCAACGTCAAATAACCTTGAACCAGCCAATCATATCCTTCTAGGTGTTGAAAAGTGGCATTTATTGTGTAGAAAGGTGTATTTATGATAAACATATATATATATATATATATATATATATATATATATATATATATATATATATATATAATAAAAATGAATTACACGGGCTATAGAACTCTAATATACTACGAAAATTGGCGAGTGTACTGTTCAGCAGTCCGCTCCGTCCTCCTTTGTGACTGCTAGTGACACCTGGCCATTGAGAGTGGAAGACATGAAAAGGCTGACTAGCTGTCTTTGATCGTATGTGCCTGCGTTCTGTCTCCCGTATGAAGTGGTAGGTGTGCTAGGTTTTTTTCCCTACACGTTACCCAGTGAAACATAGGGTGGCTTCAAGCTAGTAGCTTGAAGTTTCTGTAGCAGTGCTTATTGTACAGGATGGGGTTGCCAGCCTGCCTCATAGCCAACCTTTCGTCTTTACCAGGATTATTTCTGGCTTAGCGAGGTAAAGGAGTGAATCTGTGGCCTGGGATCGAACCCCGGATCATGTGTATGGTCGGCGAGCGTCCTAACCGCTATGCCACCGACAAGTGTGCTAGGTAAGGAGGGTGAAATCAATTAGTTGACGAGTCTGTGAAGCTACATCGACTGAGATGGTTAGGACATGTGTTATGCATGCATGTCTAGCCATCGTCTTCCTCGACGATGGGCAATAATAGCTGACATAGGGTCAGGTTGGAAAAGAGCTAGCGACGGTCAAACGAAAACATGGCACCAGTGAATGAAATCCAAAACAGTTAGTTTAAGCCAGTCACGTAGGAAGGTGTGGACTTCCTGACTGGCTGGTTGGGGTCCTCGGGATGGTAAAAGCTAATGGCTGGAAACAATCGGTGATATGGCTGACGTAGATGCATTCACTCCTTGTCATTTATGATTTCCAATGAAACTATATTGTTGTTCGTTATTTCTATTCCTTTTGGTCCTATTTGCCTGTCTACTGTTTCTATTATGCATTTCTTCTACTTTCTTCTGTTGCTTTGTGTTCTACAAGGAGAGGGAGTGTGGCGATTTGAACTGGTGCACATCGGTGCAAAGTTCTATATCGAAAACAGATAGATAGACAGGCAGACAAAAATTGGTCCCTGTTTCTCATATAACACATATCAAACCAATGCCGACACAAAAATTCATCTAAGTGGCAGTATATCATATCAGGAACCATTTACCATTCTAATACAGTTTTCTTTTAGATAGGCTCTGAATCCTTCAATAGAATTTGTATGAGCTCCACTTGAAGGATCCAATAGTTCGGAATAGTGATTGACTTTATGATGAGTATAGCCTAGTGATGATAGTTGTGAATAACCACTCCAATCGTTGTTCCGTGTGAATGGTAGCGCCTGGTCTGGGAGGACTAGTAGTCGTTGTTGTATTCATTAGTATTAAAGTATTGGCACTTCTGTTTATGAATGAGTTCGATTAACCTTTTTCTAAGAATTCTATTGTATAGTCCCACCACCGAAATGTGTGACTTGCTCTTCTCCTACCGTAATAAGTACTATTTCGTCAATATGTGAACTATGACACCAATTCTTCCTAGTACAGAAGTAATTCCATTGATCTTCTGTGAGGCTGTTGATATATTTCAACAGTACTGATGCCATTTACTGTACTATTGAAATTTTTTGTATTCTCTGTTTCCGCAGTTGTAGCGGATACAGCTGGTCATCTCACTCTAGTCACTTGTGGCATGTGGCATATACATACACAAAGTTACGATGTCGAGAAGAAAGTATCCGAAAAATTCACCATAATGTGTGTGTAAAACTTACCAACAATTCTTAAAAACTTCCTATCACTATGACATTGATTCCATGTGAATTTATATAACCATCAATAGTCCAGCAGTACACTTTTCAAGAGTGTCATTATCCCCCTCCACAGTATGCACGTTTTAGTCCTCCTAATCAACCCCAGTTTCCCCACAGAAGTAAAACAAAACACCATGAATCTGGGTGAAACTTGCAACGAAGATTATGAATAGCAACAATTTGTAGTGCTGGGCAGCGATCTGATTGGTCGTCTCAAGGTCATTTGATTCTGATGTCTATTCTTTACTGCTGCCCTTTGTGCTTGTCTCATTAATCTTATTCGAACAGAGAAGTTACTCTAGGGCTAAAATTCTCAATTAATTACCTGAATTAGTTGTTTTTTTTATTATATTTTTTTGATTACAGCTTGATTCCACATCGTATTTTTTGGTACAGGTATGGAATTTTCAGCATGTGATATCGGTAGCCCATAGTTTGCAGACCGACTATTGATTGATATCAGGTGTGAGTTGGCAGGGAATTGAACCCCGGACCATGTGCATAGTCGGCGGGAGTCAGTCCTAACCACTGTGCCACCGATGCACAAACGTGTGTCTTAGGTGGGAATTAGACGTATAGAGATGCTTCTACGAGTTGATCATGGATTGATATCACAGTTAGAGAGATTCATTGAAAACCACCAGACACAAGGGGAGTACTGGACAGCTATTTTGCCAGCCTAGTTTGGGAATCATCAGCAGTACGCACCCATCGCGGGGGGGGGGTTCGAACTCAGGACCCTTCTGTTACAAGGCCACCGAGCTCGCACACCATTCAGAAGTCACTGGAACCCGATTCAGTGGCCCGTTCAGATGTATTGCTCTATGTAGAGGGGATCAATTAGCTAAACTACTTATCATCAGTGAAATGTTATCCGTAAATGAAGATTCTTTTTTAAAAATTACATATTTCAATAAGAAATCCATCCTTCAGACAATCTTTCTGTTTCTCTTAAATGAATCGCCCACCTTTTTTCTTCAAACATTCACACTTACAAAGATAAGGTGGTTAGTTAGTTAAACAGGTGTTTACAAAAAGCTGAATTATTTTCTAAAGATGTTAAACAATAATAATAATAATATGATAGACGAAAATTTGCAAAGAAATCATTTTGAATTCATCCTGTTGATCAACAAAAATGATCGAAGTCAGTTCATATTTGAAAAAAAAACAAAATCGATGCAATTGATGGTAAATAATAAGTAACTGAGGTGAAGAAATTATCCAAATACAAATGGTCCATATAATATTACTTTACAAAAAGAGTCATATCTAGAAAAAGTGACAATTAAAGCTCTATAGAATAAATTGGTTATAGGCTTTCATCATGAGCTGACGTCGGTTAGAGAGAGAATCATTGAAAAGCCGACAGGGAGTTACTGGACAGCCAGTCATTTTGTCAGCCTAGTTTCGGACTCTTCATCAGTACACGCACCCAACCACAGGAGGAGGTTCGAACTGGGGACCTTTCGGTTTCATGGCCACTGAGCTAGCCACTGCAAACCGACTCGATCCAATGACCAGTCCGATGAATTCCAACTTTTGCAGATTCACGATATAACATGACATCGGTAGCAAGTATCTTTCGTCACACCCGACCTGCTGTGTACCCGAATGGTCACGACTTCCCGACAGAACCCAGATAACCATCTACACCTGAATAGGGGCCAGTCGCTGGCGAGCATGAGATTCATATTCCAGTGTAGGTTTGCCGGGATTTGATTGAAGCTCCCAGGTTTTCCAATGGTTGTTTAACCATTGTCAACTCATAATGAAATCCTGTAGCACATCCAGCTTCGTTGATTTTAAAGAATAATAGAAGGGTAGCATAATCTGAAATTAATAATAATAATAAGCAGTCTAGTGATTCAGATCTTTTTTCCCCTTCACTTCCCCAGTGGAACATAGGGCCTCAAGCTAGTGGCTTGGGGTTTCTGTAGCAGTGGTGTTTATTTTACAGGATGGGGTTGCTAGCCTGCCTCACAGATGTGATATATCATCAATTTCATGGGGATCTAAATTGCTGTTGAGTGGTATTTCCTTTGTTTTATTCCCACTTAAATATTTGTGACAGCCGTGATAGAAGTAACACTAGTTGAACACGAGAACTAAAGAATATGCAACCAAATGAGATTAAAATAAGTTATGTTTCGTTATTAACCCGGATGATATCAGTTAAGAGAAGCATTAGAAACCAAGAAGCCACTGAATAGTTGTTTCGTCCAAGTTTGGGACTCGTCATTGGTATGTTCTGTCTATCTGTCTGTTTTCGACATAGAACTTTGCATCAGTTCAAGTCGCCACACTCCCTCCATGCAGCACACAAAGCAAGAGAGGAAAGTAGAAAGAAATGCATAATAGAGACAGTAGACAGAGGTATGAGACAAAGGAATAGTAATAACTAAGAACAATATAGTTTCATTTGAAATCACAAGTCACAAGGAGTGGATGCATCTGCGTCATTCATTGAGAACGATTTTGAGCCATATCACATTAGTTTTCACCGTCCCGAGGACCCCAACCAGCCAGTCAGGAAGTCTACACCTCCCAAAGTGGCTGGCTTAATTTAACTGTTGTGGATTTTATTGACTTATGAAGCCATGTTTTCGTTTGACCGCCGTTAGCTCTTTTCCAACCTGACCCTATGTCAGCTATCATTGCCCACCGTCGAGAAAGGCGATGACTACGCATGCATGCGTAACACATGTCCTAACCATCTCACTCAATCGATGTTATTTTACAACCTCGTCGATTCATTTCCCTTCTCTACCTATCACTCCACCACTAACTTCAATATTGCTCACCCTATTATACTACTTGACACGGGAGATAGAACGCAGGCACATATGATGAAAGACAGGTAGCCGGGCTTTTCATATCTTCCTCTGTCAACGACCAGGTCTCACAGCCGTAAAGGAGGACGGAGAGAACTGCTGAGTAGTTCACCCGCCTTTCGGTCGATAGCCAGCTGGATATCACGTCTACTAAGCCAGAGACGGCGTAAACTGGTATATGCGAAGTTAGCCCTCTGTATCCGTGGTGAGATTTCGTCAGAGATCAATCCTTTTGGTTGGTATGTTGATTATTCATAAACGTGATTGACACAACTCTCCTCTATTGTTCTGTTTTTAGTTTGCAATATTCTTCAACTTCATTAACTCTACTCATTTGTTGTGTTTGTTAGCGCTGTCAAAATAATCTAAACAATAATTCGTCCTACCTCCAAAGTTTATTCAAAGATTTCTTTTTCGATAGTTCAAGTTATGCAGATTGAAGTTAACCACATTGGGTGTATTCAGTTTTAAAAATTCTGTAAAAGATTGATTTATTTTCATTTGGTGATTTTGCACATCCTAAACCGATTTCAAAGTTGAAACACCCTAATGGTTGAACAGTTGAAAATTAAGAAGTAGTGTAGTGTAACGACAGAAGACAATAGTCAGGTAACAGATCGTCTATTGAGAAAATCAACACAGATATTTCATAGATTTTTATGTACATAATCATTAGCATTATTGTGTTAGCAGGGAAACAGTGTCTTCTGATTGGTTGTTTTCTCGCTGAAAGTTATTCTGTCATTTCTTTGAAGGTCAGACCATATACATATCTGCGAATCGTATCCGCCCCCGTAAAGTCTACTGTGATTGGTTGTCGAGTTAGTCTTTGTTCTTGTTTTTTTCTCATGATCAAGATTTGGGAAGTAAACAACAACATTGACGTAAATTGCTGTCTACCAATTTTGGCTAGCAGACAGACAGCTCTCACCACAGTAGTAGATAGTTGTCTTGTGACTGTTTCATCCTTGATCTAACTCCTCGGCGGATTCCTTTCAAATGTCTTCTCTAACCCTACGAATGATAATAACACTTATTTAGTGCAGAGAGAGAAGACACATGTATCAGATTGCCCAACAAAGGCATAATAATAATAATAATAATGTATTTTACAAACCATATAGAAAATATAATCGATCTTATAAGCGTTCAAAGTCTAGTTATACTGTCAACAAACACAAACCAAAGTTGAAGAATTCAAGTCTACTTTTTACCGATTGATTTTAGTTATCATACACATTGCATAACAGTTAAACAGTCTTAATTACTGAAGTCTTCAAGAGTAATTTTTGCGGCAACCCAATGACTGATTGATCATGTGATCTGCACATGTAATCCGGTGCTCCTAAGATCTATTGATTCCAAGCGCATAAATGTGCATTATTGCACAGTTCCAAACTACAGAGAAACACACCTACATTTGGATTAGACACTAGTAACTAATATGATGCGTCTAGTCCTTTCTTTCATGCAGATTGAATTCTGTCAGTCAGGTGTGCAATATGGCCACCATTCCATAATGTAGGTCGCCATCATAGTACACATTGATTCGATGATATTAGGTGGTTTGAGGCAATCGGAAGGAAGCCTTACTTGACCTAGGTTTCGTGCTAGTCAGTCAGTCAGTCAGCAAGGCCTATCTGCGACCTTGAAGGAACTCATGTCCTTTCTGAGATTCGAACCCGCGTTGTCACCCAGTGCAGTGGTGCAGTCAGAGATGTTACCACTGAGCTATTCTGGCTCGCACACTAGTTACTAGTGTCCAATCAAAATACCCACTACAGTCCTACAGGAGGAGGTCAATCGTGAGCTAGCTCAGTGGTAACGTGTCTGACTGGACCACTGCACTGGGTGACAACGCGGATTCGAATCTCAGAAGGAGAGACACGGGTTATTGCTTCAAGGTTGCAGATACGCTTTTCTGACTGACTGGTGAGTGCCAACTAGCGTGAAATTTAAGTGAAGTAAGGCTTCCTGAAAAGTAACAAGTTGGCAGAAGAGGCATCAAAGATAGGACTTCACGTGAACATAGATAAAACAGAGATAATGAAGATTCCTAGCCAACATCAACAGCAACAACAACAACAGACAACAATAAGCATAAATGGGAAGAACCTGAAAGAAACAACCTCCTTTACCTACCTAACTGGGAAGCATCGTCTCAACTACAGGCGGAACTGACGAGGACATCAAAGCCAGAATCGGAAAAGCAAGACAAGCTTTCATTACTCTCAAATCTGTGTGGAGGTCAACAGCAATCAGCATCAAAAATACGATCCGGATTTTCAACTCCAATGTGAAGTCAGTGCTACTATACGGATCAGAGACTTGGCGAGTCATAAAGAGCATCTCAAACAAACTTCAAACCTTCATTAACAACTGTCTCCGCTCAATACTCAAGATCAGATGGCCGGCCAGAAAAGATCAGCAACAGGGATCTCTGGGAGCGAACCAATCAGGAACCGATTGTGAAACAAATAGGCAGAAAGAAATGGAGATGGATTGGCCATACGCTGAGGAAACCATCAAGTGACATCACTAGACAAGCCATCGCTCGAGTGGAACCCGAAAGGGAGGCGGCGAGTTGGTCGTCCAAGGGTGACTTGGAGGAGGTCATGTGAGGAGGAGATGAAAGCATGTGGACAGACCTGGAGCAGGGTGAAAAAGTTGTCAGAAAACCGAAGTCAATGGGGTGGGCAGCTGAAGCCCTATGTTCCTCTAGGAACTAAAGGATACATAATAATAATAATAAGGCTTCCTGTGGCCAATTGCCTCCAACCATCTAATAAACACACCTATCCAGTGTTTCGTGGTTTTCAGTGTGGAGGGAGGTGGACGGATGTCAGCTAGTGACAAAAGTTACTTTGAAAGAGGAGTTTTTTTTATAGTTGACGATATCTCTTACCAGACACTTCGTTACCCTTCTGTGTAAGGTAGGGTATGTGTCGTAACTTTTTTCGAAAGAGCTATTTCTTTTTTCGATTGTATAATAATAATAATAATAATTTCTCTTAACGTTTGTTTTTCTCTCCATAGTAAATCTACTCATGAAAATTGCCTGTTCCCCGGCTGTTCGTAATTGTGGCTTGAATATGGAGTATACATTTCATTTGTTGTGTAAATATAAAGGTGATTTAGAGATGACTCTGCATGCTTTACTTCGGGATACACTAGTGGTTTATGATTATGTTTATGCTGGTAAGTATATTTGGTGTGTGTGCATGTGTGTATATATTTTTTTCCTTCACGTTCTACAGTGGAACATAGGGCTTCAAGCTAGTGGCTTAAAGTTTCTGTAGCAGTGCTTATTGTACAGGATGGGGTTGCTAGCCTGCCTCATGGCCAACCTTTCGTCTTTACCAGGATTATTTCTGGCTTAGCGAGGTAAAGGAGTGAATCTGTGGCCTGGGATCGAACCCCGGATCATGTGTATGATCGGCGAGCGTCCTAACCGTTATGCCACCGACGCTGTGTGTATATATTAGTAACAATTAATGGTTTCATCATTAGACTCGAGGCTATTGTCATTTGCTATTTGTACCAAATAAGGGTCGGAAACTTGACTAGCGCTTTACGAAAACGATTTCCAACAAGTTACGGCGAAGTTCAACAATAGCGTCCCAGGAGTGTGAACGCTTCAATGACCTTGAACGCATGCTAGTCGTTGGCTAACGACATATGTCATTATCATAGCTGAAGTATCAACGCTATTCACTAACTTAGGAGCAAAATTCACCCAGATCACGTTTCTAAGGACTGTTTGGACAATGTGTTAACAGCTCGTTAGCGTAAGGATTAAGGTTAAGGTAAGTATTTGTGTTAGGGTCAGGGTGAGGGTTATAATCAGCATTAGGGTTAGGGTTACGGTTTGGATAATGGTTATGCCTAGGGTTAGGATTAAGGTTAGGGTTGTGATTAGGAGATAGATTTATAGTTAATGTCATTTATTTCAATTTGTTTTATTATCCACGTTTTCCTGCTAGGTAGTACTACCTACAGGTGGATGATTTTGATGTGGTTTTGTTCTCTGAGCTGGATGGTTAGTTTGCGAAGCTTTCATCACCTTACTGGGTGACATCTTCAGCGCATACTTCAATTTGAAGTGAGCTTTTAGATTTCTCCACGAGTTTATTAATCATCTCTCCTGGTGACCTTGGACGTGATTGGTTGTTTGTGTGTGTTTTCACACCTTCTAGGTTACTTGTATTGGAACCGGTTGTTTCTTTGACTTGAATTTTGACCCTTTGTCTGTGAAGTTTCTTTCTTATTGGTTGATAAATTTTGTCTATGTCGATGTGTCTATTGATTGATGATCCACTGGAAGATAAAACCAACATCATCTACAAAATAAACTGTAACAACTGCGAAAAACACTACATCGGCCAAAGTGGACGTCCCCTTCGTCTTCGTATCCACGAACATAAGCTAGCCGTCAAAAGACATGATATCCACTCCCTCATTTCACTACACACAGACAACTACGGACATCAATTCGACTGGGACAACGTTCAAATATTAGACAAAGGAAATAACAAGAATGCTAGAGAATTTTTAGAAGCTTGGCATTCCAGTGGATCATCAATCAATAGACACATCGACATAGACAAAATTTATCAACCAATAAGAAAGAAACTTCACAGACAAAGGGTCAAAATTCAAGTCAAAGAAACAACCGGTTCCAATACAAGTAACCTAGAAGGTGTGAAAACACACACAAACAACCAATCACGTCCAAGGTCACCAGGAGAGATGATTAATAAACTCGTGGAGAAATCTAAAAGCTCACTTCAAATTGAAGTATGCGCTGAAGATGTCACCCAGTAAGGTGATGAAAGCTTCGCAAACTAACCATCCAGCTCAGAGAACAAAACTACATCAAAAAGTACTACCTACCCATTCACCACATTGCGCTACTACCACTAACGAGTACTTGTCCTCACACCCGACCTGCTAGCCTTTTAACCGGAAGGTCCTGAGTTCGTAGCTTCTGTGGTGGCGGGTGCGTATCAATGAAGAGTCTCAGACTAGGATGCAATAGCTGTCCACTTCTCTATTACTGGTTTTTCCAATGGTTCTCTAACCGATATTAGCTCATGACGAAATCCTGTAACTAATCAATCAAATCCCTACAAAACCAGTACATGATTATTAGCAACTGTGTTGTTTGATAACTCATCACTACTATCCCCATAATAATCTAAACCCCCTTACCCCCCCCGCCTGTTACGCGTCGTACCTACAGTTTGATTATATATAACATTTTTCGGAAATATTTTGATAACGTATGCAATAATGACAACTAATTCTTATTCTTATCGGACAAACCTAATGTACACAAACACGTAATGATAAAAATAATTATAGGCAATATTGCGATTGTGTACACACAGCTAAATGAGAATGAATTCGCCTGCAAAAAAAGCGACTCTTCGCTCAACTACTTCCTTTGTTTTTTCATTCGTGCCTGGATGGAGATTATTCACAAAGTGTGAATTGCCTTCAAGGCTTTTGTAACATCCGCGAACAGTGTGTGATAAACAATGGCAACAAATGACCATATACGATAGAGATCATCCTTGACTTTATCATCACTGAGTGAGTGAGTGAGTGAGTGAGTGAGTGAGTGAGTGAGTGAGTGAGTGAGTGAGTGAGTGAGTGAGTGAGTGAGTGAGTGAGTGAGTGAGTGAGTGAGTGAGTGAGTGAGTGAGTGAGTGAGTGAGTGAGTGAGTGAGTGAGTGAGTGAGTGAGTGAGTGAGTGAGTGAGTGAGTGAGTGAGTGAGTGAGTGAGTGAGTGAGTGAGTGAGTGAGTGAGTGAGTGAGTGAGTGAGTGAGTGAGTGAGTGAGTGAGTGAGTGAGTGAGTGAGTGAGTGAGTGAGTGAGTGAGTGAGTGAGTGAGTGAGTGAGTGAGTGAGTGAGTGAGTGAGTGAGTGAGTGAGTGAGTGAGTGAGTGAGTGAGTGAGTGAGTGAGTGAGTGAGTGAGTGAGTGAGTGAGTGAGTGAGTGAGTGAGTGAGTGAGTGAGTGAGTGAGTGAGTGAGTGAGTGAGTGAGTGAGTGAGTGAGTGAGTGAGTGAGTGAGTGAGTGAGTGAGTGAGTGAGTGAGTGAGTGAGTGAGTGAGTGAGTGAGTGAGTGAGTGAGTGAGTGAGTGAGTGAGTGAGTGAGTGAGTGAGTGAGTGAGTGAGTGAGTGAGTGAGTGAGTGAGTGAGTGAGTGAGTGAGTGAGTGAGTGAGTGAGTGAGTGAGTGAGTGAGTGAATCTCTGATGAGATATTATTTTCTCTCTGGGTTTTCAGATATGCTTTGGTTGATGAACTCAGAAATAATTACAAGTCTTCATTGAATTTCTTATTCGGATAATAAATTCCAATTAGATAATTTTATTTTTAAGTACTATGTCGTGACAGTGAGATCAATTACATAGGCCGTCCAACTAGTGATGGATCGGGGTCAATCAGATTATTGAAACATAACACCTGATATCTATGGTCGGCCTGCAAAATTTGGGCTACCGATATCACATGCTGAAAATTCCATACTTGTACCAAAAATACAGTGTGGAATCAAGCTGTAAATCAAAAAAAAAAAATTTAGCCAGATCTAGAACAATTGACCTTGCTAAGTTAAATAGCCTAGAGAAAAGTTCAGTCATTATACTGCATTCATTTGCGCGTAATCACAAAATAAGGTGGGGTAGAACAGGACTAGAGTATTAAAGAATAATATATTCAAGTGTAGGTTTGTACGGATTTGATCGATTGGTTACAGGATTTCATCATGAGCTGACATTGGTTTGAGAACCATTGGAAAATCTGGGAGTACTGGACAGCTGTTTCGTCCTAGTCCCGAACTATCAGTGAGATGCTCACTAGCGACTTGACCTATTCAGGTAGGTAGTAACTTGGGATTCTAGTGAGAAGTCGTGACCAGTAGGGTGCAGCAGGTCGGGTGTGAAGACTAATACTCGCCACTGAAGACATTGGCTAGTAGTGGTTGCGCTATGTCGTGAATTGGCAGAAGTTAGAATTCAAGAACCATTGGATCGGGTTCCAGTAGCTAATGAATGCTCTACGAGCTTGCTGGCTTTGTAACCAGAAGGTCCTGGATTCGAACCCATGCGGTGGGTGTGTACTGGTGAAGAGTCCCACACTAGGAGGAAACAGCAATCCAGTACTCCCTCCAGGTTTTCCAATGGTTCTCTAACCAATATCAGCTCATGACGAAATCATGTAAAAAATAATATATTTAGGCGAAGAAACAGCGAGAGGTTAATCACTGAAGCTTTGTTTGTCGTCGATTCAACACCGTGCATACGCAATCGGAATGACGCAATGCCGCCTATACCGGAGATATTGGAAATGGCAACAAACAACAAAGGGAAGTTGACGAAACTGAAAGAGACAAAATACATATATAAGACGAACTGGGAAACCGTGTGACAAATTTGATACGATTATGAGCAGCTATAAATTGTTCTCGAAACCTTATCATCCAGTTGTTAATGCTACCTCATCACTGTGTGTGATATTTAAAAATAAACTTGCCTAATATGGAATATTACATTCTATCACAGTGCCTAGATTCTACACTTACATTCAGTTCTAGTTAGCTAACACAATTGTTTTCGTTCACAAGTCATTTACGCATTTTATACAGATTATTTTATATCCCAATCCCAAACTATCTTCCATACACAAGATATATGAAAACTTAGGATACTATTTTCGTATCCAAACTGTGAATAAATTTGAAGGCGGTACTACGGAATTGTAAGTTTTTACGCTGAAAGAGCTGTGATCATTTGAGAGTAAATGTGATCATTTTGCACTAAAACCAAGTATCATAGTGGTAATGAAAGTAGTCATATTGTTCACTGTGTTGACCCACACACACACACACACACACACACACACACACACACACACACTCATGTTTCTTGACCTAAAGGCGGCATTCAATTCAGTCGACCGAGAGGTGGTACTATGGCTATGTTTGGCTTTGAAGGGAATTCCTGGGAAAATAAATTGCACTGATCAAGGCACTGACTTTACTCGGACTCATGCAGCCAGTCAGGTGAGTCCTTAAGGCGAGTTGTCATCTGAAGTGGTGACAACTAGTGGTGTTCGTCAGGGATGCCGGTCCACTGTCCTTGTTTCTGTTTCATTTCATCATATCTGTACTAATGGAATTAACCTTAACCGCTGACTTCAGTGACTCAAGGTTGACTTGTTACCAACAGGGAATATAATCTCACTGACTGGATGACATTGACCCACTCCTAGCTAAGAAATAGGGAGTGAAGTGGTGGCTGAGAGTGTTGACCACTTCACTTATTTGGGAAATACCATCAGCCAGTGCCAACGGGTTGATCTCTGACGAAATCTCAGCACGGATACAGAAAGCTAGTTCCCGCATATGCCAGTTTACGCCGTCTCTGGCTTAGTAGACGTGATATCCGCCTGGCTGTCGACCAAAGGCCGGGTGTACTGCTCAGCAGTTAGCTCCGTCCTCTTTTATGGCTCTCAGTGAGACATGGTCATTGACATTGGAAGACATGAAAAGATTAGCTGTCTTTGATCATAGGCGCCTGGGTTCTGTCTCCTGTATTAGGTAGTAGGTGTAATAGAGTGAGCAGTATTGAGGTTAGTCTTCAGTCGAGTGCCAGGTAAGCATTGAGGGGGATTCAATGAACGAGGCTGTGAAATTACATCGGCATGTATTACGCATGCATGTCTAGCCATCGCCTTTCTCGACTGGCAGTTTTAGCTGACTGACATAGAATTGTTCAGATTGGAAAAGAGCTAGCTGGTGGTGGTGGGACCAAAATATGGCTTCATCAGTGAATGAAATCCATCACAGTCAATTTAAGCCGGCCACCTAAGATGGTGTAGGCTTCCTGGTTGGGGTTTTCGAGATGACAGAAACCAATGAAGGCTGGAGACAATTAGTGATATGGCTCAAAATTCTCGTTCTCAGTGGCAAGCGCAGATGCATCCACTTCTTGTGACTATATTGTTCTTCGATATTACTATTCTTTTCGCCTCACATCTCTGTTTACTGTCTCTATTTTGCATTTCTTTTTACTTTTTTCTTTGGTTTTGTGTGCTACAAGGAGGGAGTGTGGCGACTGGAACTGCTGCACACCTGTGCAAAGTTCTATGCTGAAACCAGTCAGTCCAGACTGTGTTGGCTATATAGTGTACAACTAATTAATTTAGATAAAGCAATAAGAAGACGTACTTTGTCTGAATCGTGTAATGTATTTGCACAACACATTTCGAACAATCTGATCAAACACACATGGACTTGTCGTAGGAATATACATGAAATTAATAAAGATTTAATAGGTGAGAAAATAGACTTAAGTCATGTTAAAACGACATATTCAAGGTCAAAATAACAATGAAAACCACTAAACCAAATAGCAGAGGTAATAGTACATCTGCTATGGTTGGCATCAAAACAAAATTTACCGAGGAAGGTTTAATGTGATGACGAATCGTTTTTAAATGCATAAAGGTGGTTTGAACTTTCTAATTGCCAGCTAGGGCTTCCACAAACTTTAGGATACGCCCTCCCCCGAACACGTTTTATAGATAGGTTTAAAAGATCTGTTAACGTCAATTTTATGTCCTGTCTCCTGTGTAATATGTTTCGCAATAGACAGAGGAGCTGGGTTTCCTGTTCTCTCACCGTTAATAGGTTCTGAAGATTCCATTTGTTTCTGGAGCCATTTAGGAATATGCTTTGAAGCCAGCCCTTATTTGCAGAGATCGATGAGTCCTCCCTATGTATATGTGTGTCCACACGTACATTCAAATTAGTAAATACAGTGGGATGTGACGTCAGTTTTCTCATGTTCATGTATATTCCTATGACAAGTTCGTGTGCGATCAGACTGTTCGAAATGTGTTGTCCGCGGAAATACATTACACGATTCAGACAAATTACGTCTTATTATTGCCTTTGTCTAAAGATTTTTGTATTTCCCAATGAATGCAAAACAAAACGATGTCAGTGTTAATACTGACTTTTCTCTGTTTAATGCTGCTAATAGCTTTATGAAAGTTTATGCTCCACTCAGGACTCGAACAATGAATTTTTTGTTTCCTTCACGTTCCCAGTGGAACATAGGGTTTCTTCAAGCTAGTGGCTTAAAGTTTCTCTAGCAGTGGTGTTAATTTTTACAGGATTGGGTTGCTAGCCTGCCTCATGCCCAACCTTTCCTCTTTACCCGCATTATTTCTGTCTTAGCGAAGTAAAGAAGTTCGTCTATGGCCGGGGATCGAACCGGGACCATGTGCATGGTCGGCGAGCGTCCTGACCGCTGTGCCACTGACGCGCTACGTCTTCTTATTGCTTTATCTAAATTCATAAACGGAACTAATTGTTTTAAACTAATTAATTGATCATTAGCCTTTTCCGTCTAACATCGACATAGATATAAGAATAAAACTTGTGCACTGTGGTAGAGTATAATTCCATTATGGGTAAATTTTTGTTTTGATAAAGTCTCACAGTGTTATACAGTCATGTTTACTAATGACCAGGTTTCGAGCACAATTTATTGCTCATAATCATATCAAGGTACTCACTCGACTTCCTAACTTCATTTATATAGTTCCATTATTTTTCACTTGATTTGATTGGTAGTAGTATTTTCCATATTTTGGGTATGAGTGATGAATCATTCCTATTGCATGTGTTTGGTGTAGACTCGATGAACAAGGATTCAGTAATCAACCTTTCTCTCCACCTATCTAGATTACTTTTTAGAATTTTAACCCTCTCCCACCCTATTGAGTGGTTGTGTGTTAATGCATGCATTGCAATTGCTGAGCTTTTTTCTAAATTACTTATCTTCCCGGGTAGGGTCAACCATTCTTACCTTAGCTAAATTCTTATGTTCTGACAATCTGACTACCCCCGACCTATGTAGTTAACCTCGCTCACAGTCATTGCAGGGTATTTTGTAAATAATATTATTTTGTCTAATTGGGTCAACAGGGTCCTTTAACCTACATAGCTTGTCCCTTAGTGAGTTTGTAGGTTCAAATGCCACCCTAATTCCTGCTTTATTTAGAATCCTACTTAGGGTTTCAGATATCCCCTCTTTATATGGTATAACTGTAGATGACCTATATTCTCTCTTATATATGTTATTATTATTATTAGTTTCCCAATTATCTTTATTTTTCGTTTGGCCTTTAGTGATCTTCCTAATGAATTTTAAAGGATAGTTATTTAACACGTCTAGATCAACACGTCTCTGTGATCCTCTTGCTAAACAACTGACTTATTTGAACAAGATGTAGGTGATAAATACTTTCACTTTGATGCACTTAGATTCTTCACAAAAAAAGCAACAAAAAAACACTGACTGTTCCATTCAACCTTGTTAACATATTTCTCTTTTTTTGTACTGATGAACATGTTGTGATAAGCAAAGAATACAGGTACAAACATGTTTTTTCTTCCAATCGACTAGTTATGAATTATCCGACATCGTCATCACAGCCTACTCAAAACAAATAAGACATAATAAATCAATGCTGGAATTGTTTAAAATCACAGTTACCTCAAAATTACCTATTTCACAGCCGACTTTCTGCAATATTTCGAAAATTGATATAATTGACCATATATATATAGACAGCTATAGAGATGGATGGATATTGACTGAGGTGTCGTAGAGATGTGTGTAGACAGACGATTAGCAGAGTGACCAGGGAGTGAGTGGAGACGATGAAGCAGAGAGGCGAGTGTGAGTCAGTCGGCGGCGTGTGACCATGACGATGGGGAGCGGTTGGGGGGGGAACCACTGGTGACATGAAAACCACGGGCCCAGCCGGGATTCGAAGCCGGGACCACTCGCAACCAAAGCGAGTATTATACCCCTAGACCACTAGGCCATACAGTCGAAAATCCACTACAACACTCCCATCACACTCACACTTCATTCTCCTCATATCACTGACAAGCCATAAATCAATCCACAACACAATCATCATCAATCAACACTATCCTCCTCCTCGTCCACACACAATAACACTAGCCAACATCTAATCACGAGCGCGCTCGTAGACTATTCAGCAGCCACTGGGACCCGATCCAATGGTTCTTGAATTCTAACTCCTACCAATTCACGACATAGCGCGAGCATTTCACAATGTCTTCTTCGATGAGTTACTGCCTCATTTTCGACCTGCTGTACCCTACTGGTCGCGAAATGGTCACGCTATGTCATGAATTGATAGAAGTTAGAATTCAAGAATCGTTGGATCGGGTTCCAGTGGCTCAATGGTCTACGAGCTCGCCCGCCTTGTAACCAGAAGGTCCTGGGTTCGAACCTCCTCCTCCTCCTGCGGTCGGTGGGGTGCGTACTGATGAAGAGTCCCAAACTAGGCTGGCGAGACAGCTGTCCAGTATTCCCAGGTGGTTTTCCAATGGTTCTCTAACTGACGTCAGCTCATGGTGAAATCATCCATGCAATCAAACAAAATCTCTACAAAACCAATACTCGAATATATATATATATATTGTCCGTTTGTTTTGTTTCTCTTTCTCATATATACACAGAGACGACAGCATGGACAACTGAAGAAATTGTCCGTTTTCAACAAGGTTTAGCTGTGCACGGAAGAGATTTCCACCAGGTGGCTAAAGATTTACAAGCGGCTGGAATGAATAAAACTGTTAAAGCTTGTGTCGAATTCTATTATGTCTGGAAAAGGATGAATACACCATCGGATGTTAAATGGTATGTTATAGTGTTATTATTATTGTTGTTGGTATTGCCTGTTTTATAATTTTCTGATATTACATGATTGAAGGAAATTGGCAGGATCCCTTGCTTGACTCAAGGTTTCGTACTCACCACTCACCAGTCATCTATAAAACACAAAATAATTGAGCCAGCAAAGAATATCCTTTTCGATAATTTCCCCCTGTTTTGATTATACAATTATATATATACATAGAATACTCTAGAATAGTAGTCGATAACAATATTAGCGTTTTTTTAAAAATAATATCGACTTGTTAAGTAAGATCACAATGGAATTACACTTCACTAAAAATGCTTAAATTATAATAATAATAATGAAGATATAATAGAAAATAGAATATCAACTAAAATTAGGAAAATTCCACAACCGATTGAGGATCATTCGAACTTAGATGGCCAAGGTAAAGACAATGTCTGAATTTGCTTCTTTTGGACACATAAGTTGGCTTCTTAATGTGGATCCTAACGGCCAGTCTCAGCACTATATGCAGTGAGCGAACTCTTAAGGAGAAGTTAAGATTTTTTGGTGTGTGGTAAATGACTTCGAAAGTCGCCCCGTTAGTATCAATCTTGTATTCTGTATCCACAAGATGAGATAGAATAGCGCTATGTGAATGGATTTTGTTTTTTTCATTAACTTAACCAACCAGTATGCAGGGTGATGTTGAGAAATCCGAGAAGAGAAACACGCCTGATTGTACGGCCTATGTAAGTAACTGGCTCACGCCACAGGAGCAGTTCAATTGGTAGATACACATGGAAGAGGTGAAATTAGGCAAAAGAGGATTGTGCGGTTTTGAAGACACAGCGTAATTTGGCAGCAGGGATTGCTCTTTTTACCGCATTTCACCGCGCTGTGTTAGTATCTCGCTGATGTTGTCCCCAAAGGAACTGCATTTATAAGAATAAGGCATTTTTAGGAACTGTTGGTACCTTGGACTTCTTTGATTTTAGATGCATATTCTTATGAATAAACTTTTCTGGATAACCATTTTCACTCATCAACCGCTTAATAATATTAAGTTCCACATCAAGACATTCATCTGAGCGAATTGCTGTTGCTCTGTAAACCAGGTACTTTATCAGATTGTGTTTGTATTTCAAGGGCACAAACAAAGCTGAGAAAATGAGTATAGTGACCCGTTGATGTAGATTTTCTATATACACTTCTTCTTCTTCTTCTTATGTGTACCATCCTCTTTTCTGGTCATAAGGACATCTAGAAATGAAATACTAGTCTTTTTCTTTCTGAATAGTAGAATTTATTGCAGGATGAACCTCGTTAAATTTATCCAGGATGTTCTTTGCTTCATCTTCATTTTCCATAATCAAAAATGTGTATCATCCATGTACCAACAGTAGAATTCTAGTTCACTAGTTGCATCTTTCAAAGGCCTATTTTCTAGTTTCGCAACGAAAATATCGGCTAGAATGGGTCCTAGTGGTGACCCCATCACCACACAGTCGATTCGTCTGTATAGTTAATCAAGGTGTGCGAACACACGAATGACCTTGGGCCGACCAGTCTTAAAAATAAGTGACCTCCTCCACACAAAAAATGACGTTTATTTACAAGAAAATGCATAAAAAGACATTAAACAGCTTCTCTTTCTCCGACATGACTTAAAAATACGTCCCAGTTAGTAATGAGGGTTATCAGTTTTTAAGTTGGACCAGTTTCTGTGTATATGTATTCACCGAGGTGATGACTTAAGGTGAAGCTTTTTTCTGACCCGTTTATCGCTCTGATCTTGTTTTGCAGTTCTTCTGCAAACCCCTCCCCCCCGGTCGAATTACTATGGTTTTAAGCAACAGGATGACGGACTGCTTACTTGGAAAATATGAATAATAAAACAAATTAAAATAAATCATATCAACTCTTAATCAATCCCTAGTCGTAACCCCTAACCTTAATCCTAATTCTAATTATAACCCTGATCCTAATAATCCTAACGAGCTATTAACACATTGTCTAAATAGTAATTGAAAAAGTGATCTGGGTGAAATTCGCTCCTTTGTGTGAGTGAATATCCCGTTCATATTTGCGATATAGTAATGACAGGTGTCTTTACCCAATGACTAGCATGCGTTCAAGGTCATTGGAGCGTTCGCCTCCCTAGAACTCTATTGTTTAATTTCACCAAGCTGCAGTCATAGACGTTACCACTGAGAGGAGCTATACAGGCTCGCGATTGACCTCCTGTAGGACTAATTGTGTTGGATACTTTTGATTGGACACTAAGTTAGTAACTACTGTCAATTGAAAATTTATAATTCCTGTTTTACAGTTAGATAACTACTCGAAACCAATGGAGCATTAGATGATGAATGTTTCATCCCGGCATTCAACTCTTCATCTGTTCATCCTGATCATGATAATACCAGAGATCAAACTGCATGACCACCCTTCCAGTTTACTTTTACTTTTTACTTTACTTCGGCTATCTCCTACGGGAGGATGAGCCGGCTTCATGAACGTCTCGAATCATCGCTGCCCAGGCGCGGCAATTTGTAAGAGAGTTCATGATGTTTCATGGGAATTTGGTACGAGTGATGTCCCCAGCATCGCTCGGCCTTTTGTTTGAGAGTGCAGCTCTAGCCTTTACACAGCCAAGTGTGACCTACAAGGCAGTAGGAGTGGAGTAAGGAGTACACTATCCATTGACAGCCGGTGACCGGAGTTCGGTTCATACGCCTTTTTGAATGGGGCCAGACATCCAGGACATCCAACAAGCCCTTTGTCCATACGTCTGCCGGTGAGCTCCAGTGAGCTTCATACGCCAGTCGTTGGAGGTTTGGAATCAGGGTTCAGCCATCTCCCCTAGACTGTCATCCAATGGACAGTCAACCCGGTGGAGAGCGCCGGGCATCCGCTTTCGCCCTCTCACTTTGGTGAGAAACACCTCCGCCACGTGAAGGCAGTGAGTAGGACTTCCTCAGGAGAGGCTATGTAAGACGCCCGGTCATATGGGAGCATTTCAAGAGGTGTGCGGAGGGGTGGCCAACCCGCAGCGCAAGGCACCCACCCCCGACCATCCTGAGGCTTTGGAGACACCCTTCCAGTTTACCAACTAAGCGGGTTCATCTTTCAGTCACCCACTGAGTATAAATCCATTGACGCATGAATTCTTTCCCCTAGCCTCATCCAGTTTGCAATATATAATTTCACTATCGTCAATGTTTACCTTTCTTCAGACTCAACAATTCAGATCCTACAGACTACAACTATGGCTTGTGGTGTTGCTTTTAGCTCAGGTGGGGTTGTTTGCCTCGTGGTTAACCTCTTTTCCTCTTTTCCAGCTTTACTGTCTGCCGGCCAGTAAACTATAAGTGTGAGAGGTTTTAAACATGCGTTGGCTGGGGAAATAGAATCCGCATCACATGCATAATTGATTAGTATTCTATCAAGGAACCACTGTCGATGTACTTCAGATACTACTTGCTAGTAAAAAAGCATATATATTGTTTTGGGAGATAATTTTCAACCTTTGGATTGAACCCTGATGAACAGCTGTCCCTTCATCCTAGTTTATGACTCTTAGTTGAAGGATGTAAAAATGTAGACATTGTCAATTTCTGCTGACTGACTAGCAGTGGAATCCACGACAACGCACATTTCTTCCTATTTGGGACTTGTCATCTGGATGCTACTGCACTCCCGAGTAAGTGAGTGATGGTATTCCCACCGAGGCTGGAACCCGGCGCCCGTAGTCTCAAGCTCCAGAGCGTTATGCACTAGACCACTTGGGCTACGAGCGCCATCCCATCTCTTGTGCAATGGGTCTTATTTAATTATTTAATTGAATTTCAGATTTTCCCGTCGATTGATTGGACCGAAGTGTTCGGTCTCAGGTTGACATGTCTGTTGGCTACTTGTGCAGATACTTCGACGATGTTTGGTCATGTAACTTGAGGTCAAGGTTGCCTTGGTGTGAACACCGTCACTCACTGTGGAATGCAGTTACATCCAGTTGATGAGTCCCGAACGGAACGAAATGCGCATTTTGGATTCCACTGCTAGTCACCATCAACCAATTGACTTGAAGTTCAGTGACCAGATGGGGGAAAATCTAAATTGAATACCAATAATCTAGACATAGTGTTAGACTTAAATCTCATGCTATCGTTAAAGCCAGTAGGATTAAAATTCACTCCCTTGTCAAAAAATCTCCCAATTTCTGTCGAACTGTGTGTGTGTGTGTGTCTGTGTGTGAGATATAATGCAGTTGTCAGCCAGCCAGCCAGCCATCTATGCACTAATCGTTTTTCATAGCCAGCTTAATTCCGCTTTGTATCTGATGTCAATGTTATCGTCGTTGTTATTACTATTCATTTTTTTTTGGTAAAATATAATTTTTCTTCTTGTTATATTGACCAGTTGGTATGGATGGTATTAGGATGATGGCTGCACTCACTGTGTGTTGTTGTTGTTGTTTACCCTGTCACAAATCACATCAATATATCAATATATCTTCACACTTCAGTGTGAAATAGCAAAATGTAGTTCTCCTGTCACCTAGTCATCATCATCACCATCATCATCATCATCATGAATACTAATGTATGTATGTCTCTGTGTGTGTTTAGGTGTGTGGCGTGTGTACGTGCTTTCTTTACCCAAGTACCCAAGTACAGTGTGCACATTAATTATATTTGCCTTTATCATTAGGTTGACATTTATCTATAAATCAATACTATTGTGTGTGTATGTGTGAACATTTGTGTTTGTATTGACGCCCTAGCTAATTGATACATTCTACTTGTTTAAATTCTATTAAGTAATACTTACTATAACAGTGTATGCCTTGTGCGCAAAAAATCTTAAAATGTTCGATATGTATATATAATATGACTGTCATTCATTCATTTTGACGGTTTAATGCAAGTCAATCAAGTGGTTCAAATGTTAGTTTGCTAGGATTACATTGGTTACCGGATTACATCATGAGCTGATATCGATTGGAGAACCATTG